CCACATCCCCCGCGCGAATCATCCTATCAACCCGCATACTTGTCAACGCTTGCAGATCGAGGCAGTGGAACTTCCTTGGATTATTGGACGAACAAGTAACTTACCCACTCGTACCCTCACCTTGATATACCACACTGCTCATGCTCAACATTACGCATTTCAGCGTTCAGATACAAGTACTAATTTAGATCATACTGCAATCTGTTTTTCTTCATTTCTTCAGTGCCCTCGGGGCTTTGTGATTAGGCGGATGTTATTTTTTCATTCACTTTGTCTTACTACTCACTTGTTATTGATTTGGACTGGAAACATTTTATGTACCAGCTCGATTAATTGAGCGCAATGCTTCGACTATTATGTATTTACAATCATGATTTCCTCACTCTTTGTAAAGTATGAAAACGATCGAATTTCGTTATAAGTACAATTCGCTTTGATACAGGAGATATGCAAAATGCAATTATGAGAGAGCTTGATGTGGACGTTATGCACATGAGCCAAACCAACAAACGAGATGTGCCGCAATCCAAACATTGGAAAAACGAGCAAAAGTAAACAAAAGTAAGTAAATTGAAAGAAAAGTGTACAAAGTTCACAATTTCATTATGAGGAACTAAACTGCCGATAGTCCAACGGCAACGGAAACTTGGGCGCGGGGTAATCGTCCCACTGGCGTTCTCCATCGAGGAAGCGACGCAATCGTGCGACTTGTGATGAAAGATACATTAAGATGATCTGCATCTCGATGTCGAGTTTGAGTTTAAGGATTTCTTCGCAAGTACGCAGAGCCTGCGTGCGTGTTGTGACGAACATGTTGCCTCGGAACCCTAGCTCTTTCAGGCTGTCGATCAGTTCTCCGAATTCTGAACACCATGCTAGCACGCCTAGCTGTTCTTGTGCGTGAGTACTGGGTTGGGATTTGAAGAAGAGGGAAACTTACTTGGCCGTATTGCTTGTAACGACCGTAGAGAACGTTAGGTGCTGCCCCCAGTGCAAAGCCGAATGCTTCGTTTTGCATGATGACGCTTTGTTCTGGGATGTATGGTTCGACTACAGGCTGAGGCTGCACAAGGCGTTAGCGTCTGACTTGGTTGGTAGTGGTGGCGGTAGGAACTTACCTCTGGCCTTGGAGGCGGCTCCTGGAACCACTGGTGTCCAGAGTAGTCCACTTCTCCACCAAAATCTACGTGCTCAGCGTTCTTCGCTGTAAAATCCATTATTTGACGATTAGGAGGAGGGCTGTTTTCAAGACGTAAAGTTTCGAGTAGTGTGGTGAGATCCTTTGGTAAAGGTATCGAATCAAGTGGGGCAGAACCTTGTGTTTGAGGGGTGAAGATAGCGTGTAAATTGGAAGAGTGTTCGCTTTATCAGAACGAAGGTTAGTCAAAGTGTTTCAGGTGGCGTATGATGTGGACTTACGATGGAAGTGGGGAAAGTGAAGTGGGGACGCTGAGATTGAGAGTGTTAGATGAGGGCGAGAAATGTTTTCGGGAAGACGACGAAGGAGATAACTCCTGTGAATCCAGATGATCAGGATGCCTGAGAGCAAATAAGAAATATCTCTTGCCTTAAAAAGAGGATTCAGAGACTGTCTATTCTCCTTGGATGATAAACGTCTAGAACCAGAACTACTGAGACGAGTCTTCCGAGCAGCAATTGATTGGCGATGACGCTCTGCACTGATACGGCTGACCGTTGATAATCGATGGTAAAATATCGGAGAAGGTGAGGGTTGCGCCGATACGTAAGCAGAACTTGATATTATGCTCGAAGTGCAGGAATCACCGGAAGAGGATTCTGCAATGGAATGCGGAGTTGCAAGTGAATCCCGATCTACTTCAGGTGTCTCCAAATAAATATCGGTGACTACTCGCTGGAGAACGGGCTTGCAAGGTGATTCAGGAGCGTAAAGAGGTTGTGGTGGGGGAACTGGAAGGAGAGATATCGGAACGGGTAAGGGTCTAGGGGAGTCGGGAGCAAAAAGTGCAGAAGTGAAATATGTGCTGATCTCCGGAATTTTTAAGTGCTCCGAATCTGTCAGGAGAGATATCCTTGAAGGTGGAAAGATGGAGCGATAGTCAAATAGATCACGGTTCTGTACGTTTCGACTGAGCCAAGAAGGGGATGGTGGAATAAATGATGTGCGGGATGACGGGCTGAGAAGTGAGCTGGTGGTGAATGGTGATGGTGATGCAGTAAACTCTGATGGGTCAACACACGCGTGTTTGGTAACGGAAGGAAACGGTTTCGCGACCTGCTCTGGATGTAAGGCGTCACTGGCAGGTGGTGGAATCGGAAGGGGTGCTGGTGATGACGATTCACCTGTTATAGCTGCCTTGCGAGCTAAAACGACAAGTGCGGCCTCAGAAGGGTTTGAAGAGTTCTCAACTGCAGGCTCGATGACAGGATTCGAAGGGCAAGAATGGAGGGGTTCTGTGAATGCAGATTGAACAGAGAGGGATAGTGAGGTTGCTTTGCTTGATACTCTCCTCCTGCTTCTAATGGTATTACCGGACGAAACGTCTGAAATGCGAGAGTCGAGTGGACTGTGTAATAACCTTGATAAAGACCTGAAGCGCTTCAATGAGCCAGTATATCTACGACTACTTCTGACGTCAAAGTCAAGCGTAGTAGGAGAGGTAAATGGCGCAGATATCTGAGTAGGAGTGCTAGAAAGTTCTGGATTTGCGTCGAAGTCGAAAGGTGAATCAACGAGAGGAGGACTGCGAAGAATGAACTCGTTTGTAAATGGAGGGGAGACACGGAGGGTAGAACAAGTCTCGTCGAGTTCTTGATTGGCAGTGATGAGTGTCGAGCTCGCAAGTGAGGATGTTGCGTAGGCCGAAGCGATCGGAGTGGGTATGTGAGTTGGGGGTCTTGGGAATGCAAGATATATGTCGGATACTTCCGCTGCCCGATTGGACTGGACTGTTTGCCGACCGGAATTGAAACCCGACAAGTGTATGGACGCCTTGGATAAGTTCTTGAGGCGATATAAAGCAGATTTGGTACGAGAAGGTGCTGGTCGTTTAGGAGGGTTGGATGGATCAGAGGAGGGCTTATTGCACGTTTCGCCGGTTGACGGTTCTGGATCAGGACGAGCTAGAGACTCGTCGTCGAGACTGACTGGAAGATCTTCTCGATTTACAAGTTCAAACTCCTCAAGTTCTTCACCTTGTCGTTGTTGCTCCTGCTCTAAGGTAGCCTCTGTGTGCTTTTTTGAAAAGAGACCTTGGTTACCTCGCCCTTTGAAAGTGCGGGAGAGCAAACGAGTTGGATCAAGAGTATGAGCCGAGCTGCGCAGAGAGCCTCGAAGGCCGCGAGGTAGTCTCGACTGAAAGTAAGTTGATGGCGACGTTGTATCTGCTCCAAGTCCTTGTGACTTGTGAGGAGAAGAGAATTAGAGCTGGGAGGAGTGACCTTTGAAGAAAATCAGGCGCTGTGTCAGCGTGATTGTAACGTGGATTCCTGACGACGTAGGAGAAGCTACATCTGGTTCAATTACTTACCAGTCCTTATCCTCGTGTTTTCTGTTAAACCTGTTAGTTTTCCGCTGACCTGCCTCGAGGCGCGATCGGCACACCATTACATAAGCTTTGACTGTAATCGCATTGTCTAGATTATTAAGTACGTTCAGTCACTGCAACTAACTAGCTATGGACTCATCAGAAGTGCAGTACTGCCTCTTGACAAGCTATGTACTCATCATTCTCCATTTCTACAGAGCGCTCATTTCGACTCAAAATAGGTTTGATACACTCACATACAGATTAATCAAAGCATTGCCCACGATGACACCTTTTCTTTCTTGATCAGGAAAAACACGCCCCCCAAAGTCGTTCTCTTCCTAGACAACCTTTGGAGTTGAGCTGCGCATGATGATAGAAGCATTACAACCGCTTACCTTGCATGTATTGTTATCACTGGGTATCAGCACCATGATGGTTTCTCATACTGATAACGCACTCGCGCTGATAACGTTTTCTCGCAGTATCACAAGGCAAACGGTCGGGTTTCATGCACCATACCGCAGTAGATCGTGGTATAAATTACTTAGTACGTGATATCATGAATGACATCCGTATTAAGCAAGAAACGATGATTCAATAATCCAATGCATTGGATGATACTGGACTCGAAGCGGTACTAAGTCCGCCATGACACAAAAAGTACCCGTCTTCTTATATGTTCTGATCAGATACGCAGTACCTTGCCGGTTTCAATTGTCAAACTGCTTCCATCAATCTAGCTCTACCACCGTGACACTCGGGCTTGTCGATCGGAGCAAAGCAGTGTTTTCAACTTCTGATATCATATGTTCTTCATAGAGATCTCCATCTAAACCCCAAGTCGACTGCTTCAATGTCCGAGCAACTCCAACATGGCATATATTCATCGGAGATGAGCTCATATTTCAGCTTGAGCGGATATTATTTTCACGTAGGCCTTCTTCACCAGCCCCTCTACCCCTCCCAAGCCTATCTACAACAATAGCACTGCGTACTACGAAACCGCGGACAGTTTTATGTCGTCAGGACCTCGCGCGACGATTGCAGCGGCTTCGTGATCGTGCGCTATACTCGCTCGTGGTAAGCTCAGGGTTTTCTACAAATCGTAATATTCAAACCCAGCATCGCCCTTACACATGCTTGGGCGCAACGAGACGTCCGGATCATATCTGCTTATAGGAACAATATCAGAAACCCTTCTTACAAAAGAAACGCGCGACTTTCTCGTATTGGATGGCCCCTGTAGATGCTTTGCAGACACGTCTTTACAGCAGCTGCGCAACGTGCGGCTCTAAGGCGAGCCTGAGGTCCAGCCGGAGAATGAAGCAAGGCCCCAGACATCCAATTCAAATTGAAGGTACCCAGGCCAGCAGGGACCTTGGTGATGTGTGCTGCGATGATCGGATGCAAGCGAGAGAGGTATGTGAGAAGTCATTAGGACGAGAACGGAGGAAAATAGTATCATGATCGTCCCTGCTGTGGGCATCTCCTGATTCAGCTACCAAATATCAATCATTTTCATTGTTTGATCTGAGGAAAACAACCAGCTGATATAAAGAATTGTGTTCGTACTAAGCAGAGTAACTTGGACTTGGAATCAGTAACTATAAGTACACAGGGCAAGCAGAACAAAAAAACAAACAAAAAACGAGTTCTCATTCACAATACTGCAGGGGATATTAGTGCAGTAGGTTCTGCCTCTCTCCCGGCACTTCAGCATCAATCAGGTTCTCTTGATCCCTTCGTCTACCAGGGAAGAGACGCCGTAAGAGCGGCACTGCTTGCAGGACCGAACGGCTGCCGGAGAGTGCCGGCAGATGCCAAGCAACTGAGCCTCCGCCCATGACCACCACCAACAAAACGAGCACACCAAAGTCTCCAGCCACGGCATAGACAGTCCTTCTTTGGTCGAAGGGGAACTGCAAGCTGATTGTGCGAGTCCACGATCCGGAGCCAAGTTGCATAATCTCCGAAATGCCCCCACCTCCAACGCCACTGACTCCCATTGCCCCTCCATCACACCATAGCACCATGCTCCCGATTTCATTTGCACGTGACTTTGCCTGCTCCCACATTGCGAGACTGACGGTGGAGTCCCACGTGCGAGCCGGTGCCAGGATCAAAGCCGGCCTGGAGCTAAGCGAACTGAATGCAGAGGAGAACGCGAAATCAAGACATATAGATGATGTGATGGGAACCGGGCGGGTATAGTTAGGCGGCGAGGACCATTCGGGTTTCGTCGCCCATTTTGGAGGGCCAAGCTCGAAGTCGTATATCGCAGGAGGGTCGGTGGAAGGGATTGCTGAAAAGGATTCTGTAACTATCTGGCTGTCAGACACTCTGCAAGGTCAGGTTTACATAGAAGGACGTACATGGTACCAGGTTACGTTTGTAATATTGTATAACTTCCTCGCCCTTCTTCTGTCCTTCATGGACAAGGGCAAGTCCGTTGCGCCGCATGCGAGATCCACCGGGGTTTGACGGATCTTGGGGGACGGACTCCTCGAAAGCGACTCCAATAACAGATTTCTGGATATTCTTCCGCAACTCTTCGAATGCGACTTCCCTCTCCCCTTGATTATTGAATACTACCGCGCTTTCGGGCCACAGAACTACTTTGGCCTGCGAAGTTAATTTCTTGGTCTCGGTGATGAAGTCGCCAAGAGTTGGATGTTGACCGTTGTGAACAGGTGGGAGGGCACAGGCAACACCCAGTGGCGAAGTATCAAAGATCGTATCAGTTCTAGCGGGTGTGATGACATGTAGAGAGGGGAGGGCAAGTGCAACAAGGAGTGTTCCTAAAGCGAGAAGACTCCGCGAGCGCTTATCGGATTGCGGGGCTTTAGTGGACGAAGTAAACAGTTGAACGGGTTGCTCATCGTTGCTGGTATTACCCATTAGCCAAGCAGCAGCAACTTCCGAAAACAGAGCCGCACAGGCACCGACGGCCCAGTCGATACCCATCGGCCCTGTATACGGTAGTAGCCATCCAAAAGGGTGGGAGGTAGAGACTGGACTCCAATTTAAGAGTCTCCCCACGGGGGAGATGTGGGATACAATGGCCCACGTCGTCGCCCATACAACAGGTAAAAAAGTCACTTGAGCCCAGAAAGTTGGGAGCCTACGATGCAGGCGGATATCTGCATAAAACGGCAGGATTGCCAATACGTATGTAATTGCAGACATGACTGCGACCGCAGCAAATGACTGTGTCGAACTCGACAGTGCATTGGTTGCGGAAGAGTAATGCGCTAAGGAAGCCCCGACCGTCACAGCTGCCCAAGAGCACATTAGCTCTAATATTCGCGTGCTTCGGCATGCGATGCGCAGCCCATGGATGCGCAGAACGGTGAGTAGTAGTACCAATGGTACGAATGTAGGCGTGGGGCCCAGTGATAGGAATGCTAGCAGAAACTCGCTTGCCCCAAAGATCAAGGTGGGGTTTTTCGCGAGGATGATGGATCGTAGGGTGTCCGATCCCATGATATACTATGAGCGATGATTATGGTTGTTGAGTGAGTCCTTCGACGACCACGTAATTACTGCGGCCAAGTTTTATGCGATGAGAATAAGAAGCTTGACTTGGAATGGTATGTACTAAGGCTCGGACTCTGAAAGTACTTAGGTCCCAACATCAAATCTTGACATACTTCATGCTGGACGACATCAACACCTGTTCGACGTTACGGAGGAATGACAGACACATGTGTTCCCGATCAGTGCGTATGCCAGCGTTCGGCATCCCCAAGACTTATCAGCATTTAATTCAATTCGCAGTACTAGTATGACCACAGTGCTGTCAATGGTTCTCATGAAATTTTGAATAATTTTATTAAAAGCCAAACACAATTGACTGTCACCCTAGCTGTAGAACTTTTTGGCGTCGAGGTCCTCGATGTCATCCGTTACTTGGATGTCAGACTTGCACTTTCTTTCTTTTGGGAGATTTGAACAATACAACGAACATGCACTCGACCAGTGTCCTGCGTAACTCGCTACCGCCTCCCTCAGCGCCGAAACGCATCCTGCCATCTACATCTGAAGACTGTCTCATAGGGTGTCATCCGTGATGTCTCTGCGAAACTCCTCAAGTCCTGTCTCCGTCCTTCATTACTGTGTCTTTCTCTGCCGTTCTATTGAATTTTACCTGCACTTGTCAACATCGAGTTTTGCAACGCATTGCAACCAACTGATATATCGCGTATGCACAAGCATGCAGTTGTGAATTTCACAGAAGCAAACATCCCATACATCACCAACATCATCAAAAGGTGACTTATCTGCGATCCAAGTGAAACACATCTGACCATACGTTAGAGGTAATGGTTGGGACGAGTTCTGGACTTATTGCTTGCTTCATAGGGCAGGATAAGTTGAATGATCAAGACTGATGGTTTACCGAGCGTCAAATCTGTGCTTAATCTCTCTTCTTTTCTTTGCAAGTCTACATCTATCAAGCACGAGATACCGCCAATTGCGTCCACGTCATGCTGTGTTGCTGCGCCGTGATATATGTATCAATTTTGAATGGAAAGCCAAAGACCACTTTACCTCACCACGCAACCTCGTTCGTACTTGCTGTACAGAGGCTCCGGGGGCCTTGCATGTCTGTTCGGAATAGCAGAATCATTTGAGACTCAGGATGCAGTCACCAGACATATGGAGCACCTGCAAGGGCTTTGTACAGTTCCCAGGTAATAGAGGAAATATCCAGAGCAAGGTCACAAGTTCAAGCAAAAACCTACCCAGTAGATGGCGACTAGTCAGCCAGTTATATATCGATTATCGTTTATCGGCAGTGACAGGGGTCCACTCGTAGCTGGCTGTCGCGGTTCTCCGATTCTGATAGCGCAACAATTTGTTCACTTGCTCTCGATTCAATTTTATATCTACAACTCCAGAACTATGAACAACCACGCCAATGCTAACGAAGGAGTCGGAAACCAAAATGAAAATGTAAACCAAAATCACCAGGCGTGTCGATGATCTTCTAACATCTACTCACCTATATTAATATTCTACAGATCCCTCAACACCTTCTCCAACAAGCACCAAGGCCGCGGGATGTGACATTCACAATGACCAGAGGGCAGCTGGTGAGTAACACACTCATTTGCGAGCCATAACCCTGACGTCGTCGAAGGAGTTGATGTATATTACCTGGGCCGCCGCGCGAATGCGCGTACGCCAACAACTTTATGAACCCAACTTACCACTTCCTCCCTATCCGCTGCCTCTAGTCTGGCAAGACGAGGTGCGCGCGATGATGGTGTTATGGATCGCAAGGGAACGCCAGATGTTTGAAATGGAAATGCAGGAATTCGAGCGTCTCCTGGGACTCAAGAGGTGCGCACGAGCGCTTCTAGGTAAGCCATTTAGAAATTGCCAAATTCTGAATGAACTTATCAGTATTATCAGACCGTACGGATGAAGAGGGACGAAGGCACTGAGAGACAGAGCCGAGAATGAGACTAAGCAGTTGCATGCACTGTATACATACAATGTACCCACACCGAATATCCCACATGCAAATTCTGTTCCACAGCGTGGCGTTGATAGCTTCGAGTTGGTTTTGCCTGACCGACGGTCTTCGAGACCGAAACTCCCTCGGCATAGGTCGACATGTTCTTACGATGGCCAGTAAGCGCATAGGGAGTGCATGGTGCATCCGCAAGGTCAAGCGTTGGAGTGGTCGAGGTACCCAGTTGCAATGTCGAGGGCTCATCAAGGTCCTCACGAAGGTCATCGTTGTCGAGCCAAACGAAAGTCTCCGCCGATACGTCAGCATCAATCAGGTCGTCGACATCGACCTCTTCCGGTTCGAGAACACCCCCAAGATCAGTAGGCACAGATGACGCAAGAGTATATATGGATGGCATTGAAGTCGGCTCACTGATGGGGGTGAAACAAGCCAGGAGTTCGCAGGTGTCCAACCACCATGTATCGCCAGGCATTATGATCTCCTCCAATCTTGATGGCGGAATGAGGAAACCTCCCTCGCCCTCGATGTCTCCGCTAACCAACCATCCAAGTCAGTCTAACGAAGTCGCAATGCCTGTGGTTCTGATTGGAGCACTGTTGGCTTTTTCCAGATCCACGACCTTCGACGTCCGTTCCTTCGAGCCTCGCCAAGCCGTGAGCTGGATCCAGATACTTGTGCTGAAGACGCATCGCGTCTAGGTCAGCGACGAGCTTGCTTTGCTTGTCGAGAGCGTGTTCACGTAGAACACCGAGTTCCATGTGTAACTGGGAAGACCGAGGGCAGAGCTCGGCAAGTTCTTCCTCTTTGCTTTCCTCGACTTCGAGCCGATGGGCGTCTTCAAAGCTTCTTTCTAGTTGGTCGACCTTGGTGCCGAGCGACTCTGCGCGGAGCATGAGACAAACAAATCACGGTAAGCTTGACCTGCAAGTCGTTCACTAAAGGCCATTCCGCTACTCCTCGAGATCGGCGAGGACTCCGGCCTTGAAGAGTATCTTGAGCGTTCCCACACGGTATAAAGATCGCCTGGAGTCATGGTCTTGTAGCGCTGGTCAAACCGAAGCCAATTAGGATAACCAAGATGCGCTATACGAAAAAATACCATTGTAACGCGATTGATCGAGGACGAGAGGCACCTCCACTCTTCGAGGTTCTTGTTGACGGTGGGCACGATACAACGTACGAGATATGGGTGTGTCGCGCAAAGCTCTCTGTCGAGTAGCTACTAGTGATTGCGCACTCTCCTCGCGCACATGACTTGGTTCGAGTGTGACGCATGACTGGACTTCTCTCAGTATCAGCATGACTCCATACGGTTAAACAGACACCATGGTAGGAAACGGTTGCACCATCACCTCCTCATGGAAGATACTTGGGGATGACGCTCGGTGGACCAAGGTATGCTGATGAGGGACAGACATTGAGAGAGGACATGAGTGTAAAGGAAGGAGAATCTGGGGGTGGCTGCAGGCCGCAGGAACGGTTCATGTGCCATCAGTTCGGTCACTCATGCTTTTGCCAAATATATATATGGTCAGAATAATTCGTTGCTGGCGAAATATTAATAATTAATGCTGACTGCGGCTGTGGATATATGGTCACTTTTTGCGGTGAATTTCGTCGGATTTCAGCCGTAGTAACTATTTTGCGTCAAAGTTCACTGTTTGAACTGAGCCAGACAGTTCGTTTTTTTTTTCAAGATGGCAACTATCGAATTATCCTAATAAGGAAAGCCCCACGATTCGCACCTTCGAAACCGGATCATGGGCGTGTTATCTGAAGTTTCGAAGTTTCGAAGGTGCGATTCTATACTATATATGGCCCAATTCGGTTTACTAATAAGAGCCCGTTCAGCAACCGATTTTTGAACGAAAAATCAAACATTATCGGTCTGCACACGCTACCGAAATTCAAGCTCAGTCTGAATAGTGAGCGGCCGATAACATTGATAACATTTACGACGATAATCTGAATAGCTATGGATGCAGATGAGCCTACTCATACGGTCGGCCAACTGCCAAGTCTTGGCTAGGCCTTTCCTTGTGAGCTTTGCTGACGCTTGCTGGCAGTAACGTCTTTGAGACTCCGCAGACTGTGCATTCACAGGGTATTGTACTGATAACAGCTTATACTATTAGCAGGTTTCTTCTATATATCAGTAGGTTTCTTCCATCGTCAAGTTCAAAGTGCTTACAGATGTCTTCTCCATCTCGTTCTCAGCCCAGTAGTCCCCCCCGAGTCTCATCTCCTCATCCCCCTAGCAGTTCGCCTGGCCCACCAAGTCCATTAAACAGCCCCACATCTTCTCCTCTATCCAGTGGACGCGCCACCACTCCTGAAACATCTCTTTTTTATTCTAGCTCCAAGTCAGGGAGCTCTCCCAACACTATGAATTCTGACTTGTGCACTTCCCCACTAAGCACAAGGCCAGAAAAGACACTTGGGATTTCGGCTAAGGAGACGGATAGCATATTTTTTGATCCGTCTAAATCTCCGAACCCTCGATGTGCTGCACGACGGCAGTTCATACACAACAGAATGATGAGGAAGCAGCATCCATATCCCGTATATCCAGCTCCAATAGAGGTTCGTTATGCAGCTCGTGTCATGGGGCAAGAGCGCAAGCCATATGTATCATTGGAAACATTTCTTCAGGTACAATATATTTTTTCTACTGGATTACAGGGACTGATTTTTATATTGACAAAGCATATCGGATACTTGGAAAATGGCCTTGCACAACTGCGTTCTTCAACCTTGTACAAAGGCTATAAAGCCAAGCTTGCTGCTCGCGAGACGGCACGCCAACGCCTTGTGGTGACTGCATGGGAAATTGAAGAATCAGAGCGCTTCACTGCATTCCTTGATGCCCTGCATAGCGAGAATGAAGAACGACTTGGATTTGCAGACGAGGAGTTGCAGAACTTTAGGAGGATTTTTTCTGAGCGTGACCGCACAGAAGTTGACGATGATAGAGATTACCTTCAAGCCATCTATGAAGATGAATGCGAAATCCTTCATGTTACCTCAGCCCAAGCTGAACAGATCTCAAAGATCTTAGGTTCACGAACCAAAGACGCATTCTTACAATCCGGACCTGCGGACTCGCAATCCCGGTTCCCCAGTCTTGAGATTCATGACGATGATGATATTGTTCTAGACGATTCTTCGGACCTGGATTCCGAAGAAGAGTGTCTTGGGGCACCGGTGGGGGCTGGTGAAGCGCCTGATGATGTGACTAGTAGTACCACCATGTGAACTTGATCGGTGGCTATTCAGCTGCATGCCCTTCCAATCGCGGTATGTGAAACAGATTATTGTATTTCAATGTACGACACTGATCAATCGATAAGAGAACATGTAATATTACACGCTGCTCGTGTTACTGTTTAATTATGATGGCGACCCCCCAGATTGTATTGGTTTGTCACTTGCATGCTTTACTTTTACATCGTACCCCTTCATCTTACCCTTCTTCAGCGTCTTCTGATTGACACATCTTGTTTAAGTATGGTTTGTAGTAGAATGCTATGCGGATATTTACCTGTACCCTGCGCCCTTATTGCGCCCTTACTACTGGAGTCCTCCCTGCGTATGCCTGTAAAACGTGCTAAAGGTAAAACAACGATACCAAAACCCACTCGCAGGTCTGGTCTGAATCCCTCACACGTCCCAGCGGACACTCAGATGTGTCTCAGCGACGAACAACCCCATGAACCAATGGCAAACATTTTCAATCCACACGACGGGTTCAGCTCAAGGTGCGTACTTTTCTGTCTTGACAGCTACTACTGATTTATGCACCTACTAGCACTCGTTACGACAACTACAATTCCTTCAGTGCACATGCTCCCAGTGGTTATGTGCCGTCGTTCCACCCTGCTCACACCTACGACACTCACACGGGTCCGTCAGGCGCTCACGTTGCATCATCAAGTACTCGCCCTCAGGCTGATGCATCTTTAAGCGCTCCTGCTGAGTCATCGAGCGCTCATACTAATCCGTTATCAAGCGCTCACACTCATCCATCATCAAGCGCTCACACTCATCCATCATCGGGCACTGACATGGATTACACATTCCCTAACCCCGATTATAACATGTACAACGATTCAGTACCTAGAACTGACCCTGCCTATCAATCAAACCCCAATAACAACATTCCACCGTATGAGCCGCCGGTGTTCGATTATGAGAGTTATAGATCGTTTGATGGTAAGTCATTTGATCATCGATGAGACATCGTCACTGATCGTTTTCACAGGCTCATACAGTCCCAGGCGTCTCGAGCATCTTTCCGATTTCGACAACATGCAAGCACCTAACCCGCACCACATACAAATTCCTCAACTATTCGACCACAATGAAGAGGAACCATTGGAGCCTCGAGATGCTCTTGTCCCCGTCGCAATGGGTGAGATACCGCGTTCACAAGTTATACACGTAAGTTTCAAGTATATTTTGTTTATTTCTCTCAAACTCTATTATAGACAACGGGACCCGCGCGATCGTCCAACAGACGACGACGTACTCGACAATTACCTGGAACACCACAATTTACTCACGAGAGCCCTGTTGTTCCTGCAACAACACAGGCTGATGTCACTGCAACAATGCACGCAACTCCGAGCCATGCAGGAGCCTCGGGCGACAACCATTATTTCCAGGTTACAGGACCCATCTGTGATCAAATCTTCAAACGCTCCAAAGAACTTGTCGTGGGCATCGCCCTCACAAAGGACGCGATGGCCTTGTCTACGGCCGACAAGAAACGTATTATCAAGTCTATCATTCGAAAGGCGACACCCAAGATTCCAGGGCTTAATGGTATGTTAATTTTTTCAATACTTTTCTAACTAACAGACCAACAGGAATACCACGCTGGGAGAATCAAACCAAGGACCTTGCAACAATCTGGCGAGCGGTAATTGTCATGCGCACGGCGGTTACGACCCTCACTCGAGAAGGCGTCGTAATGGCCTATGGACTTTTCCCTCCGCAGGGCAGTCCAATCTCCCCCGAGACCTTCCGCATGGATCGTGTGAGACACCTCATTCGAAACAACGTGTTCATGCACGATTACTCATTTAATGTGGTATGGTCTTCATTGCACTTTCAATCACCAATCACATGTTGAGTTGTCAACAGGACGGGACGCTGACAATTCACTCGAAGTTCAAAAATCACTTCATTCTTCACCTTGTCACGCGAATGGTATGGAATATGCGCTTTCAACTCGACATTTTGCTCGTCTCGCCACGCAGACAGCTGCACTTCGCAATGGGACTGGCCGGCGCAATAACAAAATGTGTGCTGGCGGAACAAGCACACCTGATACTCACTGCACCTAAGTCGTCCCCAGACGCAGATGCTTTTACCTTCGAAATGATCTGTTCGGGCATGGATGATCTCACTGATGAGGAGAAAGCTGACTTGGACGGGTGGAAAGACCATATGGTCATTTGTCACAGGGACGTCTCAACAGCGCAGGAATGAGCTCTCCGATTTTGACTTGGACTCAAACTCAGACTCGGATATCGCGTGACATGTATTATTAATCACGATACTCATATTATTAATCACGATACTTGTATTATTAGTAGATCTATTGTATATACATTGAAAATACGGCTCTTTTACCTCGCGAAATGCATTATATCTATTACTTAAGCACATCGGGCTCGAGGCAAATGTTCAATTAAACCAAGACGAGTGTTTACGAACACCACCCTGAGCTACACCAAATAGGCTTGTTCAGAACAAGTTCAGAACTTGTGTCGACCAACTTGAGTTTTTTTAGATGCGTATGAGTAGGCTCATCTGCATCCATAGCTATTCAGATTATCGTCGTAAATGTTATCAATGTTATCGGCCGCTCACTATTCAGACTGAGCTTGAATTTCGGTAGCGTGTGCAGACCGATAATGTTTGATTTTTCGTTCAAAAATCGGTTGCTGAACGGGCTCTTATTAGTAAACCGAATTGGGCCATATATAGTATAGAATCGCACCTTCGAAACTTCGAAACTTCAGATAACACGCCCATGATCCGGTTTCGAAGGTGCGAATCGTGGGGCTTTCCTTATTAGGATAATTCGATAGTTGCCATCTTGAAAAAAAAAACGAACTGTCTGGCTCAGTTCAAACAGTGAACTTTGACGCAAAATAGTTACTACGGCTGAAATCCGACGAAATTCACCGCAAAAAGTGACCATATATCCACAGCCGCAGTCAGCATTAATTATTAATATTTCGCCAGCAACGAATTATTCTGACCATATATATATTTGGCAAAAGCATGAGTGACCGAACTGATGGCACATGAACCGTTCCTGCGGCCTGCAGCCACCCCCAGATTCTCCTTCCTTTACACTCATGTCCTCTCTCAATGTCTGTCCCTCATCAGCATACCTTGGTCCACCGAGCGTCATCCCCAAGTATCTTCCATGAGGAGGTGATGGTGCAACCGTTTCCTACCATGGTGTCTGTTTAACCGTATGGAGTCATGCTGATACTGAGAGAAGTCCAGTCATGCGTCACACTCGAACCAAGTCATGTGCGCGAGGAGAGTGCGCAATCACTAGTAGCTACTCGACAGAGAGCTTTGCGCGACACACCCATATCTCGTACGTTGTATCGTGCCCACCGTCAACAAGAACCTCGAAGAGTGGAGGTGCCTCTCGTCCTCGATCAATCGCGTTACAATGGTATTTTTTCGTATAGCGCATCTTGGTTATCCTAATTGGCTTCGGTTTGACCAGCGCTACAAGACCATGACTCCAGGCGATCTTTATACCGTGTGGGAACGCTCAAGATACTCTTCAAGGCCGGAGTCCTCGCCGATCTCGAGGAGTAGCGGAATGGCCTTTAGTGAACGACTTGCAGGTCAAGCTTACCGTGATTTGTTTGTCTCATGCTCCGTGCAGAGTCGCTTGGCACCAAGGTCGACCAACTGGAAAGAAGCTTTGAAGACGCTCACCGGCTCGAAGTTGAGGAAAGCAAAGAGGGAGAACTTGCCGAGCTCTGCCCTCGGTCTTCCCAGTTACACATGGAACTCGGTGTTCTACGTGAACACGCTCTCGACAAGGAAAGCAAGCTCGTCGCTGACCTAGACGCGATGCGTCTTCAGCACAAGCATCTGGATCCAGCTCACGGCTTGGCGAGGCTCGAAGGAACGGACGTCGAAGGTCGTGGATCTAGAAAAAGCCAACAGTGCTCAAATCAGAACTACAGGCTTTGCGATTTCGTTAAACCGACTTGGATGGTTGGTTAGCGGAGACATCGAGGGCGAGGGAGGTTTCCTCATTCCGCCATCAAGATTGGAGGAGATCATCATGCCTGGCGATACATGTTGGTTGGACACCTGCGAACTCCTGGCTTGTTTCACCCCCATCGGCGAGCCGACTTCAATGCCATCCATATATACTCTTGCGTCATCTGTGCCTACTGATCTTGGGGGTGTTCTCGAACCAGAAGATGTCGATGTCGACGACCTGATTGATGCTGACGTATCGGCGGAGACTTTTGTTTGGCTCGACAACGATGACCTTCGTGAGGACCTTGATGAGCCCTCGACATTGCAACTGGGTACCTCGACCACTCCAACGCTTGACCTTGCGGATGCACCATGCACTCCCTATGCGCTTACTGGCCATCGTAAGAACATGTCGACCTATGCCGAGGGAGTTTCGGTCTCGAAGACCGTGTTTTGGCTGACATCGGTCAGGCAAAACCAACTCGAAGCTATCAACGCCACGCTGTGGAACAGAATTTGCATGTGGGATATTCGGTGTAAGTACATTGTATGTATACAGTGCATGCAACTGCTTAGTCTCATTCTCGGCTCTGTCTCTCAGTGCCTTCGTCCCTCTTCATCCATACGGTCTGATAATACTGATAAGTTCATTCAGAATTTGGCAATTTCTAAATGGCTTACCTAGAAGCGCTCGTGCGCACCTCTGAGTCCCAGGAGACGCTCGAGTTCCTGCATTTCCATTTCAAACATCCGGCGTTCCCTTGCGATCCATAACACCATCATCGCGCGCACCTCGTCTTGCCAGACTGGAGGCAGCGGATAGGGAGGAAGTGGTAAGTTGGGTTCATAAAGTTGTTGGCGTACGCGCATTCGCGCGGCGGCCCAGGTAAGATACATCAACTCCTTCGACGACGTCAGGGTTATGGCTCGCAAATGAGTGTGTTACTCACCAGCTGCCCTCTGGTCATTGTGAATGTCACATCCCGAGGCCTTGGTGCTTGTTGGAGAAGGTGTTGAGGGATCTGTAGAATATTAATATAGGTGAGTAGATGTTAGAAGATTCTCGACACGCCTGGTGATTTTGGTTTACATTTTCATTTTGGTTTCCGACTCCTTCGTTAGCATTGGCGTGGTTGTTCATAGTTCTGGAGTTGTAGATATAAAATTGAATCAAGAGCGAGTGAACAAATTGTTGCGCTATCACAATCGGGGAACCGCTACAGCCAGCTGGCTACAAGTGACCCCTGTCACTGCTGATAATCGATAAACGATATATAATTGGCTGACCAGCCACTACAATAATTATACAAAGAAAGCTAGCTATGTAAATCTTTGTCATACTTTGAATATCGAGTCCTCGGGCCACATAATTACTGGCAGCAGCCGCCCTTGACCACTTGGGTATTTGGTGAGCATCAGAATTCGAACTTAGTTCGAGGATAAAGGTAATCGTCTACGAAGATCAGAGAGCACGATAGAGCACACTCGACCGCACACCAACGTCCATAGTACAACCTCTTAAGAATGAGAAGAATATAAACCTCAACTGCTCTTGTATGAGCAACAGTACAGGACCGGATACTACGTCAATATCGGGAGTGGAAGTACGGTTCTAGGGTCTTCGGCGTGGAGAACAACAGACTACGTCTCCTATTGTTGCAGCTAGTAGTCTGTACACGAGCAGCAACAATTGATGAAGCAGTGAACTATATAATGAGTCAGTCTACAGGTAGATAATATATCACTGCATGGAGTTATACCTGGTACAATCAGAGTGAGGGTCATGGAGCTGCTCCCTCAACAGCTTCATCATTATCCAGGTTTACGGCGAATGGATCAACTGTGTGATCCATGAGAGGCCCGCCCAATAATGCGTCGCCGTTTTCCATTTGACTGAGATCATGAACGCCTTCAAACGCAGTTCCATCAGGTCCGAGCACTGTCATATCCAGGTCTCCGACGTCTTCAGGATTGACATTCTCGTGTGGACCGATTTCGATATCCACGTTGCCATCGAGAGCTTTGAGCGATTCGTCCAACATGTCTGCAACCTCCTCTGCGACCAATATAGGTTCAGCAGCCTGGAGCGAAAGTGCAGGAGGTGTTGGCGAGGATGGTTTGGTTTGAGGTTCTGACGGAATTTCCTGATTAACTGAGTTTGTCTCCGTGTCCACCACAGGCGCTAATGCATCGGGAGCTACAGAGGCAACTGGCTCGTCCTGGTCCATCTCTTCGTCTCCTTCTACTATTTCAGGTTCGTCAGGAAGGGGTGCCAGTGGTTCGTCCACTTCTCCTTCATCGTCACTAAATTGCTTCAAGGTTGACTAGAATTTCGAAGTCACTCTATCAATTGCTCAGACTACTTACTTGTTTTTTGTCTGTCTTCACCCACTTGTAGATTTTCACAGAAGAATTTGGAGCAGCGTTTTCTGGAACGGTCCATACTTTCTCCCAGCAAACAACTGGCTGCATGAGTTGGCGTCTTGCAGCCTCCGTCGTTGCGATGCTGACGCCGATTCTTCGCCTAGTGGACATGATATAGATTTGAAGAAAAGACTATTGATTGTGTTCATGGATTCTTTCGAATAAGCTATGAACGCAGTGGGCGAGCTTTCGCCACCCATTTGGGGGTCGCCGCTCAGATCTCAGACACGATCAGACCCAGTGACTACACAATATTGCAAGAAATTTCGCCAACATCAATCACGATTTCGTTTGCCATGTTGTTTCAGAAAACCTGTGTCATTGGGTAAACATCTAGAAGAAGGCAAGCTTTGGCAATATTCTTGTATACCAGTGCAACTTCATACAGGCGAATTGAGGGATAGAGTGAGTCTCCTACAGAGATAGTGTGATCGTTACCTTGATTCTGGCAGACGCTACGCCGTTGTGAAATTCTTCGCCTTGCCACATACATCAATGGGTAGATTTAATTCTCGCCATATCAGCGAGGTACACTATGGTCCGGTTCTGGCCGACACCTGGACCGTGGACCGAACCACACCATGGTCCAGCCGGACCACGGCAGCACCAAGAGTTTCCGCCGAGATGATACCCGGTATGCAAAATAAATGATATCGTGACAGAAAGGAGCTGATGCTGGTGAAAGCAGTCAGCGAGGCAATAAAATTTTAACGAGATGTACTTGCGCCCCCTAAACTTCACAATAAGGCACCAGAAGAGATAACACCTTTTCCCCACTCCACAATCCAGGATGAAATCGACGTGGTGCGGCATTAGTCGATGTTGTAATACAATTTAGACCAGTCTTGGGTTGTTTCCAAGTGAATGGTCGACCGTTTGTACCCCTTGCGATGACACAGTGTATTGGGAGCATTCAACTGGTAGGTCTACACATGCGTCAAATATAAGTTATGAATAACCAGACAGACTTTGCAAAAAAATGAGCTGCAATATAGCAAATAGAACCGCCATCACGACCACTCCAGAAGAGAACCTGAGAATCTTATGGGACCTCTTCTGCCCAACGCAACATGTCTTCAAGTGACACGTTAGCCGTAGATGTCTGTACCTACATGGAGTCAGGTTTGCGTTGACGTGCACGAGATAAAGTTACCTGAGAACTGCTAGGTTTCGCAATCAGGCTCTGGTCTGAACCCGCCATTTCCTGAGCTGAAGAACGTAGCTCCAACAGTCGAGCTTCGAGAGTATCACATTGTCTAGCTTATCATGTTCAATGACATTTATATCATAGTATGGGCAACGCACGAGTGAATGTTCTTTGTTTCCTCACGCCTCAGCTCCAGCTGTCGTTGCATCATGAGCTCAAGATTTCCTCTAGCCTATCCAAACATCAGTCAACCGTATGGGTCAGAGTGTGAGAATAAAGACCTGGACGGGCCGTAGATCATTTGCAGCTGCCATCAGATTCTGGGCAAGTATTGTTATCCACTCGAGTTGGCGTTGCCATTCTGGTTGTGCCGACGATGAAGGTGGTGGTGGCGGCGCAAGAATGGCGTTTGTCAAATTGGAGTACGTGACCAGCAGAGACCTCAGGACAGCAAGAAGCGCAGGCCGCCGATCTCAGGGAAGAACTTCAGGACAACGAACATATCGAAGAGACTCGAGGACCGTCTTACCTACACTTGGGTCAGGAGGGTAGAGCTGATGTCCACCAAGTTCAGCTAGAGACGGGATGGTCTCTTTCACCTGGTTGGGAAAAAAATCAAACACTATGTCTGGGCGTAAAGCAGCATGCATACAAACCACGTATCGCCGAAGACGCTATAGTGGCCTTCCTCAAGGACCCAGTCTACTCGTGGTTTCTCGAGCTGGGCCAGCGACCATGTGGGTACATCGGTTTGATCTGAGAGTAATTCGTGCTGGTTCACTATCCCGAGATCAGCATTTTGATCCCCGACTCGTTCCTTGAGTAGAGTCAGTAACCTCAAGTTATGCGATGTATAGTTATTGTAGTGAGATGGAGGTGAGGGAAAAGGACTACGAAGTTCAGCTTCCTCTTCGTCCATTTGCGGTGTAGAGTTTACAGAGAGTCAGTAACGCCAAATCTATGTGAAGGATTAATGTATCAATATTAGTTGACGAAAGCTTGCCGTTCTGTGACAGTTGTTTGGCAAAGGCTTGTGATCCAAACAAACTTGCAAGACGGTCATTTCTTTAATTTGTTCTTGTCGTACTGTCGCTGCCGTCGTCAAAATGGTGCGCCGAATTGCTTCACAGGTGCACAAGCAGGCCGCGCGGCTCATGCGCGCGAATTACATCAAGAATGAGCCTGTGTGGTTTCAAGCGGTTCTCGAACATCCTCCCCTTCCTCTCCCTCCAAGAGCTCCCCCAGTCCGCGAAGACTGTCGGTTATCATCCAGTAGGAAAATGCGAAAACCAAAGACTGAACCGTTACCTATATTTTACTTGGAGGACAAAGTTCGCCGGCAATTTTTTCGCGACCATCCTTTTGAGGCATTCAGGCCTATCAGCATTGTAGAAGGTCGCGAAGTAGAGGATGAGCATCCAGTACGAGGAACAGGTTGGACACGGCTGGCTCAAAGAGGACTCAATCCTTCTCCGGAGGAGTAAGTACTCCCTCTTTCATTCAACCCTCGAATAACATGACAACTCCCGTTTTGTCAGCGCTGTCCACTTTGCTGTTAACCTGCACAAGCACCACAAAATGGCTCTTAGCATTGCATACACGCGCGCTGTTGCAGAGTTCAGATCACTACGAGCTGGGCACGAATTTGCCAATACCTTTGCTCGAATGGAGGCTGAAGCTTATGGCACTGTCTTCCCATCCGAAATTGACCGGACGTTCGAGAAGGAAAATGCAGTCTACCAATCCGCAGACCGCAAGGTTGAGCTTGACAGGGGTGCTCTTCTCGCTCGCAAGAGGTGGAAGGCCATTTTGGATGTGAACAATGGGATGGGAGACTTTGACAGAGGACAACAATATACCAGGAATTGGAAGCAAGGTGTCCGTCCGACCTACCTTCCAGTAGATGAACTGGCAGTGGCCTCAGAAGCTGGGAAGCCTGTGCAGTCCATAGAGCAGGATCGTGCCGCCCCGAGCCTAGCGTTTGCTAAAATACTGGCTTCAACCCCATAGACATCATTACCTTGCAATTCTCGGCCACCGACTTGTTAATGTTTTAAAGTATTATATCAAGAGCATAAGCCGCCAGTAATAATACATAACTATGCCTTGATGCGAGATTGAGCGGCCTGTGCCGCGTTCATCCCTATCCAAGTCTTCTCTACAAGTCCAAGTAACTTTTGCATGTCCGAACTCCAATCATTCATCACGTCCTCTGCGCTGCGCTTATTCCTGAAGTTGACGATACCTGCTGGTCGGTCTACGCGTGCCCAGATGGTATGTGAAACAACTAGCCGAGCAAGCGTTTCTTCTGTTTGTTGTGGTGTAAGGTCGAGAAGAACCGTGAGACGGGAGAGGGTGATTCGAGTGTAATACTGTGCGACCACGCGTACGTTCTGGATAAAATCGTGAATCAGTAGTGGACTCACTTAGACACATGAGTTAAACTAACATGTTCGACGACACGGGTATGGAGGTCCTCCCATTGCTTGGAAACCGAGAACACCGGCGTTGTTCGTAAGAAAGGTCCATACAGGGATTCAATTCCGGGCCACCTCATCAATTCACGGGTCACGAATGACTTGACAAGGTTACTACCCAAAAGTCAGTATTGACGTTAACAAAGGACAATAGTCTCACTAATGGAGTTCAAGCTTCTCGAGTGCGGGGTTAGCGAATAGATGGTGCAGCATGTCTGATTGTTCGTTGTCATGAGGCGCAAGTACCACGTAATAAACGATGTGTTCGAGGGCCTGAAGACCGTAACCTGTCAGTCATTATAGGCCTGATGGGAATAAGAAGTACGCACGGCACGGCTTTTGCTCTCGTCCTCCTTTATCGACGGCGTATCCCAAACCTTCTCATAATGCTTCGCTACTTCCAGATAAGCACTTTGATGAAGAGCTTGTTGGATCATTAGATCATAATATTTGAGTTTGAGATCCTAGATCCAGTCAGTCATGAGCGTCTCGCCCGTCAGGTTCATGAACGGACAAACCTCATTTGCTTTCTCCTTGAGGAACGATTCGTTGACTTTGCGGCCCCCAACTTTGGCCTTGACCCATTCAGGCTCACCACTTCCAAGTGCGTTCTTCCCCTGTTTCGCGGGAGCTTCCGCATCTTTCAATCGAGCGACAGCAATCAATAGCCTCATCTGCTCTAGAATAAACTCCGTTTTCTCTCTCCGCTCCATCGACGAGTAAGTTTCCACTTGCAGGTCGCTAAGGAGATCTGAAGCTGTTTGTAGTGTTTCTTTGATTGTAGCTGCCAGGGCGTTTGGAGCCTTGGAAAGAGTTTCATGGTAATGGGAGAGAGCGAGAGTGACGCGCGCACGGGGCGTCTCGAGAAAAATCTGCGAGATATATCATGAGAATATGTTGATAGTCTATGACATGGTGAACTAGCCTTTCCCTCAGTCACAGATCGCAGGGTTTCAACTAACTCTAACCACTTCTCAACACCTTGCTCTTGTCGGATCCCAGGCAGCCACGATATTGCCTGTTCGACTATGGCCTGGACAACGACTTTGAGTTGGCCGTGCTTCTTGCTCAGTAAGCTGATGGTGCTATTGAGTTGTGTGTAGTCTCGGGATTCGTAGCAGAGTTCAAGTGCCGCTTTAGCTAGCCGCGTCGTGGAAGGTAGATCATTGGCCTATTCATGGCAAGTTCAGTATGAAGAAGTCGCCAAAGTAACAAGACGTACATTTCGTGTTTGCTTCTCCAGCGCAAGCAATCTCTCCAAGGCATCTGACAGCTGAACAGACTCTGACTAAGTCAAAGTACCTCGTCAGTTCGAACAGTAAGACACGTATACAACTCTGCACACACCTTGACGAGAGCGGAGGTCTCTTGTAGGAGCTCGTCAACTTCCTTTGTAAAGTCTTTCTCCTGTTTTCTAACCTCGGCCATTGCAATTGAGTAGTGAGACTTAGAATACGGCTTGTCATGTTTTGGCGTGCAGTGACGCGTCGCAAAAATGTTTGGCATTATTTGCTTTTCTGCACTGACTTTCCATTTCTGGGATGACCCCTGAACGGGAGTGATACTCGCCTCCCCGACCATTTCCTTAATGTCTTGTTGAGCACCCACAGCATTCGTGAATTTCATGCCATTCCAGTCTGCGTTAGAATAATATGCGTGATAGTAACCCTAATGATAAGCGCCAGCACCGTGTACCAAATGAGTAAAGCGTCCTGTCGCGATAAGGAATTCATAGACAAACAGGAGGAATATCATGATCCAGGAGCTCCGACGTCGATGATGAAACCGAGTGTGCAGGAGAAGGCCTGAGTTCATGTTTTTCTGAGGACGAATCGTCCCCTTCTTTTGGTTGAGCATGGAGTATGGAGAGAGATTTGTCGAGCATATGCATAGGGATCGTGAGAGGGTAAGACGTGAGAATACGACATGCGAAGGTAAGCAGTCCAGCAAGGACTGCAGGGATGACGGAAGGGAAGGCATAGACGGGGTCGGCATATTTAGCTGAGCTGGATTCTTCAAAGGGTAGCGCTTGGATGGCGCTGATAGCTTTGGTCTCCGTGTGAACCGATGCATCGACTTCGGTGGAGATCATGTTAGGCCGAACGGAGACGGACTGATGTAAGACCGCCGGAGTAGCATCGACGCCTGTATCCATGATTGACGGTGTGGCATCAATGGACATTGAGACCAACTCTGGCTTAGCCTCAGTTGACCTATCAACCAGTTTGGGCGACACCTGGACATGGCGCTGAACCAAACGAGGCTTGGCCTGCAGAGACTTGTCTGCAGTAATGCGCGTCACAGTGGCGTCAATACTCTGTTCCCGGGTCTCGGGCTTCTGCGTGGAAAGATGCACAGCCCTAGCCCTCTCCATCAAGCGCATGCCTTGCATGTGTGGCAGCCAGTCCGAAACCTTCTGCCAGCCTGATGCGTTTGCCTCGACATATCCGGGACGGTTCTTCTCATGGAACCACTTTATTGTCTCCAAATAGGGCGCAAGGTGACTGAGAAGAATGGTTGTCTGAAGAGGGTCGTTGACGACGGAGTGACCCACGTGTAGGCGGAGAAGTGACCGCGAGGATACATCGAGGGAGTTAAATGTCTCCTCGGACTCCGTGTGGGCATCTAGCACGAGTGCAAGCGTCTGTAGTCGCTTGCAACCCTGAGTCAGGACCGCAACACCTTCTAACGTGAGGCTGGGCCCAGACGAGGCGGGGAAACGTGCCATAGGGCAGAGCCGGAGGGTCTCGATGTTGGGACATGCCTGGGCTACAGCCTGCAAATCTGAGTTATGGAAGAGGACTGATTCTGGCAGGTCTATTTCTAGACGGAGCAAAGATGGAAGCGAGGTGAAATGCTGGAGGGGAAGGTGACGGGAAGGTGGGTCTCCACCTCGAGACGTTGATCTCACAAGTTCATTGAAACGGGATGAGCCTGTTGCGTTAATACGCAACGAGAGGAGCGACTTGCTGAAGCGCTCGCAGATCAGACCAGAGAGGTCCTGCCAGTCGGCCATATCCGGGGGGTCCTCGATAACGAGCTCCAGATGCGTAAGATTGCTCGTCAGATGCTTTAGGAACACCGCGATGTTTGCAACCTCTCCAGTCAATGATAGCTGACGGAGATCTGTAAATACGCCACCCGAGCGCAGGTCACCGGTCAAGCGCAAGGATGACTTGCGAATTTCCGTGAAGTCTATCTCATCCGCAGAGAAGACACCACTGTCTGACGACGCATCACTGGGAGTGGAAGCTCCCGAAGCGACAATGTCGTCAAAGAAGCCTTCAACTGCGATGACAGACCGGCCAGTAAGATCAAGTTCGAGGACACGCAACATAGGCAAAGATGCAGCCCATTGCCCAACGCTCGATGAAAGCGCGCCAGGTGCAACTAGAACCAACTTTTCCAATGTGTTGTGAGACCTCAAAATATCAGTGAATGTGTCGGGAAGGCTCGTTGGCTGAGGTGAAGGAGAAGGATGACAGTTGAGTGGTACTGCATACCTCCGCAAGGAAAGTGGCAAGCTGTGGGATCCTCGTGCTGACCTCCAAAACCAGACTTTGAAGCTCTGGGTTCAGGAAAATAGTGCAGCGTTGCAGACCAGCAGCAGTATCCACACGCCAGATGAGCTGCTGCAAGTGAGGAAGGATGTATTGTACGGGTCGGTTCTCCGCGATGATTGCGAAGATAGATGGAGAGACGCTGGGGGAGGACTCAATATACGCAATACGGCGTACACGTTCACCATAGGCGAGAACTCGGCTCCAGTCCTCGGCATTGGGTGCCTTGGCCTACGGGAGGTATCTAGTTGAGTAATCGGGAGGCTTTCTGTCAAGGAAAACTCACCAAACCAAGCCCAGGTCGGCGGGCTCTCTTCATCAGGGTGTTGGGAAATAGCGAAATAATTGGAAGTAAGGAGTCCAGTTCCCTCCATAGTACATTCAAAGCGGGCTCGCACATAGCTCTACAGGTCCGCGCAAGGCGTGACATGGAGCGGCGGCCATTAGGAGAGTCGATGATAGTCTCAAACAACTTTTTGGCTGCATCAGGATCCCGGAGGATAGTGGGAAACATTGTCTGCTGATGAACAGAATAAGGGCGGTAGGAAGTTCGATTGTTGTGTTTGCTTTGACTATCAGGATCGCGGGAGCGGCGAAGGCGAAGAGATACAGAAGCTAAAGCGTCAGAAAACAAGGAGGTGGAAGACATAGATGCCTGGCTTAAACACCTGGTTTTAAACCACTTACTGCGCTCACACGCCGTAACGTCCGGACTATGTGAGGAGTCACCAGCAGGATGAGGGCTGGTTCAAATAACAAATTGAACGTGCGCAATGACTTCAGCAGCCGAGCCATGCTCCCCTTTCGAACACGGAGGTGAAACACGCGTCAAGGGTTTGCCCTTACGCAATAGAAGCGAATGGTTAGTGTCTGTACTGAGGCGTGTCAAGTCCCATCTTTCCGCTATCGCGGAGTGATTATACGTTAGTACACTGCTGCCTCGCTTTGTGCAGTGCGTGGCTTGGGGCGGCGGGCACCACACGCTCTGGTTCAAACGCCAGCATCAGACACGTGTTTTACACGTGTTCTTCATTCTGTACTTGATCCTGCAAGTGATAGCAAGTATAATTGCACGAAGCGTCTCGATATGAAGCACTGAAAACGTCCTGTGAACGCACTGAAATAATAAAACACGACCACATACGGCTAGTAAATCCTACAACTCTCCGACTTCCCATGGTATAGGCTCGCCTTCCCAATCATCTTCCCCCTCGGTACTATCTCGGGTGACATCTTCCGCTTCACCGATATCCCATATATCCCCACCTCTCGACGCGTCATAATGGCCAACACGATCACCGTAAAGTAAACCGCGGAAGACACGCTCCTCCTTGCTGTTGCGGGTTCTTGATGGTGAAATGGCCAACACGAGGCGAAGCTCTTCAGGTAAATCAACATGAAACGTTCCCTTTTCGTCACAGCTCGTGTCGCCAGCCGCGGCATATTGATCGCGGTCACGGGCACCGCCATGTAATATTGGATCCCAGTCAAGCTCTTCCGCATTTTCCAACACTTGCTGTGCTGTCTGGGTCCGATTGATGACTCTAACAGCAAGCTCGTCTAAACCGTCTTCGTCTTCCTCCTCATCCTCTTCATCTGTAACCCTGGCCTTTTTTCGGCTCGTTCCGGCTTTTCCTTGTCCGTTTGCTGCAACACGTCGATTTGAAGAGGCCGCTTCAGAAGTGGGAGATGGCGGAAGTAAGGGGAACTGTGGGGAAGAAGTTGATGTCAGTCCATCATTCACCGACACGACCTCCAAGACACGCTTGAGCGACAACTTCGGTTCCTGGGACTTGATGTGCGTTCGTTTCTCTGCAGTAATTGTACGCGATCTCGACTGGTTTACCCGGCCTTCAGCACTGGGAAACTCATCTTTCTTGATGAATTTTGAGATCAAAGTAGGTTTGGTATCTGCCTTTGATTTCTGATTATCTTGGCGGTTTTTCGAGCGTCTAGAATCTTTATGGGCATTGGCCGGAGATGGTTCGAGGCTCGTGGCAGCATTCGAATCTACACCGTGTGAGATTACAGCATCGTCCGAGCCTCGTGAATGTGACTTGGAAATGTTTGCAGGCCTCTTAGGTACACTTGCAGTTGGTAGTGTGTCTTCGAAGAGGAGCCTAAATGACTTGCCGCCTGCCGGTAGTTTTACGGGAGAATCATCCACAAAAGAGTTGTTGACATCCGGGCCACTCATTACCCTATCACTTTCATCATCACTAGACAAATGTGATAATCGGAAGGGTAAAGCCGAATGAGAACCGATACGTTGACGTTTCTGCTTATTGGGGGAGGGCGAGACGGGTTCACCGCGAAGTCTCTTTCGTGCGCGCGAGACTGCCGTGTTTCGTGCAGGAGGTAATTGGGAGTTGAGAGGTGTACCAATTGACAAATCTGGCTGTCCTTCTGGAAAATTATCTGGGGATTCGCACCGGGAGGAACGGTTTGGTATATTCTTGGACGGAGTCGCGAAAGGATTTGGTAAAGGTGTCTTTCGAGTTGAAAATGAGGATGCAGGAGGGGAATACCTCTGCTTGCCTTTATTTTTCACTGGTGAGAACGGATTGAAGCCTGGAAGAGGAGCTACGACTTCGACTTCGCGCGGCTTAGAAATAATACGGGAGCGACTTGGGTGAGCAGTAGGTTTCGGTGGAGTGGTGGGGGTCTGAGAGAGACAGGCAGCTGCTGCTACTGCTTTGGATAGTTTCTTATATAACTTGTACTTGTCAGCTGCAAAGATATTGAGTGCAAGCGCGACGTGAAAGTACCGGTTAGACGCACCTATAGCAGGTTGATCTTTAATATCTTGAACAGAAGGATCTCTGGAGAACTTTGACTTGAAATCACGTTCCCAAGCTTTAATTTCTGTCCGAAGAGATGCGACGTCTGCCATTCAGTTGTGTTCAAGTTGTGTTGAATGTCAACCCCGTCTTAATGGTTTACCACAAAGTGGCCACAAAGCCAGGCCAAACAGAGAAGTGCAGTCTAATTTTATTGATCGTTGATGGACAGTCACCTCATGTGCACATGTGGGCAGCACAAGCTCTGCATGTCCCATTTTAAGTCTTTCTTCTGTTGATAACATTCGTTAATACTGACAACGATTCTTTGTCTGGTTAGCTCTTCTTTAAGGCTTGGCACCGCATCTGTCTATCTATGCCTTTTAACTGGGGTGCAGGTCGTCATAAACACCAAACCAGCCATCATTTGCAGGATGCGTCAAACGTAGTCCGCGATGAACGTGTTCCAGGTTTCTTTCAGTCTCCTACTTCTGCTGCTTATCAACACCATGCCAATCCTGACCCATATGCCATTGTATCTCCAGCATCTCTCACTCCTGACTTCGATCAATCTCCGTCTTCATATTATCACCGTGACAGCCCTCCCAGGTTTTCGAGACCTTTGTCAATGACCATCTTAAATGACCCTGCATTCTCCTCCGATCCTCGTGTTCATCCGCATTTCCCACTCATTAGTCCTACATTCTACAAGGAACTCCCATCTAAATCTCCTCTTGTCAACAATCCCTCCCAGACCACTCCCAGTGACGTCTCCCCTCATCAGGAAGTGCTCTGTCCTGTAAAGGATCCAGACCTTGTTTCACACTCGCCTGGTTCGGAAGAAGCTCACATGTCGCCGACTGCCTCTCCTTCAGTATCTTTAGATTCTGACTCCCACACCGGTCTCTCTGCTTTCACGTCGCCTACTGTACCATCTGCTACATCTCATTCCCACTCGCTGAATGATCCCACGTTACCTCGTATTGTTGTGCCTTCGCAGCTTTCGTCTTCGTCAGGTCATGACCCAGGGTCTTCGCCAGCCATGTCCCCTACTTCTAATCGTCCTACCCCAACACGTATTGTTACAGCTCCAGAGCAGCGAGAAAAAGTGGTGAAACCTACCCCAATGCGCTCTGACTCGACTCCAGTTCATGCAGATGGTAGCAACAGGCCTACGGGAAAACATCGTATGAAGAATTTCATCCGACGCTTCACAATCTCCCGCGCCCTCGATCGAATCGACGAAATGGATGAGACCGATCCTTTTGGAGCAGGATGGCAACATGCCGGTCCTTACGATGCTATTGGTAGCAATCTCGCGCAACTCGGGCCAGCTCACATGTATAATGACATTGATGTCCTGCGAGGCGATTTCCATACTAAATCTAAGCGTGAGGTGAGTTAGACATGCAAGCTTTTCCAACTTATGTTTACATTCTCTTTGCAAAGAATGCCCATCGTCAGGTGCGGACCCAGAAAGTATGTTTGGTAGCTGAGAACCATGAAGCTTTTATCTTTACATGTTTTGCTGCAGCTCCCCAGATTGCCTCCGATTGGTCCAGGAGTCAGTCGACCGTCTCTACATTTCGTCCCTGGGCAAATTATTCCATCTGGTGCTACATCGCCGCCTATGCATACCACTCAGGCCAAAACCGTAATTGCGAACCCAGATCTTCGTAATCTAAATTCGAACCAGTTAGAACCCAGTCACGCCAGAGACCACTCTCCTCTTTACCACCATCCGCCCGAAGCGCCGCCTTCTCATTCATCGTCACGTGCACCCGCCAGCAAGTCTGCTTCTCGGATCCATCGCTTTGGTGACGATATACCTCACATACCACAACGGCCAGCTCATGATGAGCTCGCGCCTTATCCCCTCTATCAAATACATTCTGCCCCCGGTTTACCGCCGGGTCATAATGAACGATATCTTGAAACTCGGTCACAAGCTCGCGGAGATGCAAATCAGGCAACGCCTTTTTCATCACCGCTCATTGTTGAACCACCTGATGGTCAAGCGATCGACCCGGCGAACTCCCTTTCTCGTCATCATAGAACTCACTCATTGGACAGCTCGCTCACGCGCACCACCACACCTACGCAATCTATATCTCGCACTCAAAATGGCTTACAGCCACCGCGCAATCATCACCTTCCAAAACGCCTCGTCATGCCTGCTCTGCTTCAGTCCGCGCAAGCACTACCTCAACAACAACCCCTGGATATATATCCCCGAACTGACCCTTACGATCTCCACCCCGAGCCTGACCCCTTCCCACTAACCAAAGACCACAGTCACGAATCGGCAGCAATGTATCACCAAGGCCGAAACCTACTCCGGAAGAAAGCAGCCGTCTTCCCTGGAAATCTGCCTTTGCCAACGCATGTGCCTGGAGCGCATGCTCACTCAAACCCTCCACTGGCAAAACATCTGTCCTTGTCAGCAACCGATACTGGGAAGGTCAAGGAAGTAGTTCATCGGCGAAGGCTGAGTAAACGGAAACATGATATCTGATTCATGTTGTAACCCTTTTTCTGGACTTTGACAGGTTCTGATATGGAGATGGGTTGGTGTTCTTGTTTGAGCTGTCTTCTATCTGGTTGATTTGATTTACCTCATAGAGGACGATCCGACCACTTATCGAGGTGCCTTGGCTATGGACCTTGGTACACCAATCGCATTAACTGATAACCCACGCAGTATTCCTAGATGTTCTTGATTCTTCTGTATGTGTTTTTAGCACGACTGTGGAATTGATGCACTTTTCTTCCAGTACATGGACGTGTTGCGATGTTACGGTGCTGAAGGCTGTTAAACTTTGTTTCCTGGTGACGCAGGGTCAGGCTGGCAAGCTTGACGGATATCGTTCCGAGCCTATCCAATAAAAAGTGGTATCTATGGCCCCTGATTGAATGGGGATGTCAGGGTAAAGCCTTGACTATCCGATGCATCGCTTCTGTTCGCTAGATAGTTATTTGACTAACAATGCAGTACTGTGATATTTGGCGTTGAATAGACAATAGCTGGGATACTGTGGCCCAGATGGCCTTATTCTTAGATCGCACATATAGATCATCATTTTAACACAAATCCCCTTCATTTTACTTTGACCTCCATTCTGTTTCATGGACATGTTGCGCTTGGTTAATTCCACGATTAGTAAGTTACCCCCTTCCGCAGTTGCACATCCAGCCCATGGTGCTAAGTTCCGCTCTAATTACGACAGCAATAACCAATGATGGCGGCCTTGAGGTGCTTCAACGTTGCATCTTTAGCCAAAACAATGGCGATGCTGCTGATCGACCTGCATACTCGATTGGACACGCGGGAAATTTCCGTTCGATTCCGTTCATTTCTGGCGGAGGTGAGACGCCCTACATGGTAACTTTAGCAGTCTGAGCGGAGATGTGTTGGCTCTATGACCTTTTACAGCTCAGGATAAGTTCGGAAAAGTTGCAAGGGTTGTCCCTGGCTGTCCTTGTTACTAAAAATTTAAATTTATTACTGATGCGGGCCATGGATCATGGCTTCGTTGACATGACGAAATTCCGATTGACGAGGTTGGCTCGTCTCTGGATCTTCTCATAGCTTCTCATGCGCGTCGAGGATAGGGCTTACTGTGAAAACTTGGCAAAAATTATATGTTCAATACTCCGCGCCACTGCTCGGGTTTTATGTATCTAATCTAGTAAGCCAGCCAGCATCCGGTAAGAGGCTCGATTGTGCTTAACTCTAATTTCCATTACACTCATAACATAAATACCCTTGGTCCGCATGGGAGTGGTGTCCGAAATGCCCTCCACCTCTTTTTGCCTCCGACGCTCATTCCATGGACAGTGCTGGTCTATTTGTCTATGGCTGGGCTCTTATAGTAGCCCTTCTCCTCGTCCTTATTTACGATCGTTGCAGGTTTTCTGAGGCAAGCACTTTCATCCAGTCGCAGTGGACTGACTAACGTCGAGTCTAGCTTAGTGTCATTCCTGCGATCGGCCCATCAGGTGCAGTCTCCTCATGGCTTGGCGCCGTCCGCTTCATAAAGGATGCTCCAGCCATGGTGCAGGAAGGCTATGAGAAGGTCGGTGACAATGCTATCATTAGGTAATTATGTTTTGAACGTCGATGAAGCACAAAGGCGGGATGTTCAGAGTGCCATTGTTTGACAAATGGGTCGTAGTTCTGACTGGGCCGCGGCTAATAGAGGAGCTGAGGAAAGTGCCGGAAGACGAGCTCTCGTTTGATCACGCTATGCGAGATGTATGTTGGAAGTTTCTTTTTTGTTCCGTAACATTGAGATTTAATACACGATTTCACAGCTTCTTCAAGTCAAATATACATTTGGCATCGACGCACAAGAATATCCCTATCACATCCAAGTCACTCGCAACCATCTCTCTCGAAACCTTCAAGCGCTCTTTCCTGATGTTTACAACGAGATCATTGACACATTCAGCACCATCATACCATCAGCCCAAAATGGCAAGTTTTACCACCTTCTCCGTGAGGTTATTTTTACGTTATTTTTGCGCAGGTTGGGCTAAGGTTCGCATATACCCGGAGATCATGAAGGCTATGTGTCGCGTAAGCAATCGCCTCTTTGTAGGGCTTCCGCTATGTAAGTGGTTCGCTTAGATCAAGGGTGCATCCACTCAGCCCGCTTACAGGCCGATCCCCTGAATTTGAAGCCCTGCAACAGCAATTCGCTTTACAAGTGGTATTGCGTGCAACTCTCGTGAATTTTTTCCCAAAATTTGCACATCCGTAAGCAGTGTTGCTGAATTGATGGTGCGAAGACCCAACTTTGACTTTTAGGATCATTGGTCGATTATTGACGAACACGCCCAGTAGTATTAGGGCATGCATGGCACTTCTGGAACCTATCGTGCAAGAACGACTGCAGACTCTAGAACAAGGCGGGGATGCTCAACCTGTATGTTATCTTGCTATGACATGATTCGCCACTTGACTATGTTTCTCTATAAGAATGACATGATTAGTTGGCTCATTGACGTATCCGACGATGAACACAGGAATCTTCGGAGTATATGTTTACGGATTTTGGTCCTCAATTTCGCTGCATTGCATACATCAGCTCAGGTATGACGTTATGCTCCAGAACAAATCGATCATTGACTCCTTACTTGTCTCACAAAGAGCCTCACCCACGCTCTATTGAACCTTGCTACATACCCTCAGTATTGCACACCTCTTCGAGAGGAAGCTTCAGCTGTCATTGATCAAGATGGATGGTCGAAGACTGCGATGACGAAACTCGTCAAGATGGACAGCTTTCTCAAGGAATCCCAACGATTCAATAGTACCACTCTCTGTAGGTTGTTATTCATTTTTGGTGATACTAAGCTGATTTCTGGTAGTCCCTATGATGCGCAAAGCAATGCGGCAATTCGTATTCTCGGATGGTACTGTGATACCCAGCGGAACTCACGTCGTTGTCGCTTCATTACCTATGCATCTCGACGAGGAATACTTCGAAAGCGCGTCTGAGTTTCAACCTTTCCGGTTTTCACAACGGCGCGAGGACAATGGAGAAGACCCACAAAGCCTGCTAGCTTCCACAAGTGCAAGCTATATTCCTTTTGGGTATGGACATCATGCTTGGTACGCTAAAAATTGCCCGATCTATGGTTTTAAGTTCTCACTCACTGGTTTTGTCAGTCCCGGTCGCTTCTTTGCTTCTAGTGTGATGAAAGCCATGATGGCTTATCTTGTGCTAAACTATGATATTAAATTGGAAAAAGAAGGCGAGCGTCCCCCAGATGAATGGTTTCTGATGAATTGCTCTCCCAACCGGAAGGCAGAGGTTATGTTTAGACGGCGACGGCCCTGAATGTATCGATTTCACACATACACACTAGACACCCAAATAATGCCCACATTGTTTACTACTTCATTATTTCCAGCAATAACACACTGAATGAACGTGAAGAACTTCATTCTTGACCTCGGCTGAATACTAAGTCAACTCTAATGACGTTGTATCACCACCGATGGTTCCATGAATAGAGTCCGATCTTGTTACTGATGGTGTTTCAAGTGTGTTGTCACAACGCCATTTATATATGTTTCATAGCTCTCCTGAAAATCTCCGCTGTCGAGGCCTTATCGCTGGTCAAAGTTGTACCGAAGACTCGGGGGGCCATCGTAATAGAAGTCAGTTTCTGGTGTATATGAAGTCATCTGGTGCAAATTATTAGGCGTGATGGTGGTGACAATGAAAGAGTCGCACTTAATACATCAATTACGGGGTGCAAACTTCAGGGCCGTGACTCACTTGGCTCACTGATGTGTGTATGACCAACTTAGATCATCATACTTCTTGCCCTAAGAAGTTCCACGAGTAAATCTGGAGCAAGGGGAAGTTTACACGAGTGGTAAATTTGGTGCTGACAGGTCATTTACCGTCCAAAATATGAATCGAAGTTTCTTGGATCAGAATAATATCACGAGAAATCATACGGCGTACACATCTGAAGACGGCATGAGATGAAAGCTAAATTTATCAGGATGAAGTTGATCCAAACAATTCGGGATGGCGAGGAATAAAAGCATAACAGGAAAAGGAGATTGCACCGGTTAGTACACAACACTAGTAAGTCAAACGGAACAACTGGAAGCTATACTGTTTCGTATGAGGATCCCAATATGACAAGTTCCAATATCCGCCATCGTTAGCTTCGTCTTCTAGCTCGCGCGCAGGGGAAAGCAATTATCTCATACGATTCAGCGATCACCTAGGATCTAATAAGCAACGTGTGGCTTGGGAAGCAATTGCACCAACGAGTATACTGCATTGTTCAGGTTCCCGCTTTTGTTCCCAAACTTTCATCAATCGTCGTCGAGGGATGGTATCTGCTTGGATCTGGGGAAGGTGAACCATATGTTCTTTGCTTGTATCTTTGTCTCGCACATTTTCACTTGGTAGTCCTATTTTGAAGGACACTTCGTGTTGTACATTACTGTGAGTCGGAGTAATCGTCAACCGCGTGTCCTTAGCGTCGTTAGCCGATACTTTAAGGATCCTGTACAACACATTAAAATTAACATTGGAGGACAAGTCAAACACTAGGAACTTACTTTGGCAAGCACAAGTTTGCGCAAACATTCACACCTGTCCATGTTGGTCTCCAAAGCCCCAGCAACACCACCTCCTCCACCGAACCTGGAACCGACACGATTCTACAAGCAAGGTGGAACTGTATTCCCAGAGAGAACTAGAAGCTATGACTCGCTTGATAATGCATCAGGAATGCCAACATCACCTTGCTTGCGAAGTCATAGACAAAGCCTGAGGCCTGTAGAGTAGCTCAACCCATGGTTTGGGAAGAGCTGACATAATCGGTTCAGTAGTAGTTTCCACAGTGCCTTCATGATTACTACAATTCCCGCGGGCCGTCGCCGACCTGCGAGATGTACTCGTCAGAGTCTACCGTAGGACATTTCTGACTTCGGTCAGTCAGTGAGGAATGATGCAAAAGCCAGCCGGCAGCTCGTCACTAGACTCTACTACTACTACTAGTAGTAGCGTTGTACTCAACAGTACCCAGTCACAGCGGTGAGTTCTAGAGCTCTTTGAAACAAATCTGTTGAATGTCTGAGGGATATATCTCAATCCGGTTACTTACTCACTTCACTACGGTGAAGCTTCACATATTTTCGGCGGCAATTTGAAGTCGTCAAAAGATCATGGGTACACCATTCCTTGACATAGCCTGGTTTCCTATACTTGCAATAGGTGGTTTTGGTAGCTTAAAGCCCGACCACGCTTGATGTCGCAGTTGCAAAGATGTCCGGTGATGTAGCCTACTAACTTGAGATATGGTCATCTTCGGTCAGTCCCGAACCTCGTAATGTGTGATGAAGTTCCTCGTTGTTTCCGATTCCCAGGTCACGGAAGTCGGCCACGCCACCAAATGGACCGTATACGTACGCCAGCGTAGCGGGTTCTTCGACGCAACAGTTGAGGATTTTCACGTGCCCGCTCAACTAACGCATCCAATGCAAATTATACAGAGCAGAACGTAAAGGTCCGGATATTCCCAGACACTTACTCCCAAGGTTTTGCGTTTCGCACTCGGGTCCCATTGCAAGCTTGGAAGAGAAGCTTTCCCTTCATAGTATCATGGATGAATGCCCTCACTTGGCACGTTCCATTGACACAATTCTGAATGTCGTTAAGGTGAAGCGCGGGCCGGAACGAGGGCTTGTTATTGCAGCATAACCCTTCATTCATGTAAAATTTTACATTAATCGTCTATCCCAGACCAACTACACTAGTACGTTCTTTTGTCGGACGGCGGCCATCTTCCAACGCTTTCTTCCTCGGGACCATGGAGATTGAACGTTTGAACGCCATCGCATGTGATAGGCTATCATCCGTCGGATCTTCAGGCAGGAGTGATACACAGGCGCTGAAATGCCAATGCCTTAGTTCTATTCATGTCGATCTCTTGTAACGTGTACAGCATTATATGGCCAAAACATTACTCATTGATATCTATCACGAGGCCTGACGCAGCAGAAATGCAGTACACAATGATATTTCAGATGCATGATGCATGCGAAAAACCACAGGTTCTTGCTACGTCAAATGCGTGGCAACTTCAAGTGGGCCGGCTATAGGAAATACGTGGATCAAATAGTCCTAACCTTCGCATGGATCCCAGGAGGTAGATCAAGATGATCACAGATGCAGTAGTACCGTGTTGTGCTTGGTTGTCTGATTTTACAATCGCGAAGCAAGGCTCGCCCCATTACATCATTGGCTTTACTCTTTGATTGACAACGAAGGTGCATCAGCTGTCAGACAAGTTCATTGGCGCCACGTATCACCAGGATAGATGTAGCACGTATTGAAGTACTTGTGAGATGTAAACAAGACAACTGGTTCAATCAAATACGCCGATGCCATGGAAAATATGAAAACCTCAATTGTCTGTGTCATCCTGTGCCTGCGAAAGAGCTCGTAGAACATTGTTGGGTATGTTCATAACCTGTGCAAATTTATCCTCGAAGGGGACTCCGCCTTGTACTCGCGCTTTGATGGCGCAAAGCTCTCTGAAGGCAACAGAGAACCCGAACGACTGGTTGCGAGTGTAAGCATAAGATGCCATAATAGTCTTGATTTCTTCCTCGGAAAAAAAGAGTACGTCTTCGAACAACGGCCGCTGCGCAAAGTATCGCGCAACTTTTAGGATCTGTTGTTCCTTAGGATCAGAAGAACGCCTAGGGCTTGAAACACTTTTTTGAATTGCAATAGCGCATAGCCAGTCTTGGTATGCTTTTTCGACATGCGTTTTGGCAACAGTCAGGTTGACTTGCAATCCTTGGAAACCAACAAGCATCGCTTGTGTTGCCCTGTAAGATGCAGATGTGTAAGGAGAGGTGAGATGGGTATCATGGTCCAAAGCACGGGGCGAGAGACTGCGGAGGCTTGAGTACTTCTCGACAAACTCGTCACGGAGGCGATTTCCCTCGTCTACGAGGTCATCGAGGATGAAAGGTGATGATGAAATTCGTTTCACTAGCGGTAGGTCTTCTCTGGGAGAGTCGTTCTTTTTTGAAGCCGCCACTTTGTAATATGGTTTGCGGCTCCCGTAAAATTTGCGGTGTGCCTCGAAAACATCGTGTTTGACTCGTAGCCCAGTCTTCTTTGCATCCAGGCACGTTGTAAACCTTCACACCACATATTATAAAGCGAGCATGGTAACGACACAACTTAAAGTACTTACATGTATGCAAGTCGAACGGCTGTTGTACTGTCATAGCCATCTTGATACACAGCTGCATCATGAAAGCCAGAATACAATTTGTATTTCGCCTCCACCAGCCCGAGCAGTAAAACCTTTTGAAAAGCTATTTGAGCCTCTTTGTCTGAGAGCTTGGATACTCGTTGGTCAAAATCAAGAAGGTATTCGATATCTTCTTCGAAATCGTTCCTCAGATCCACGGGTGTCTCACATAGTGGAGCGCTGTTAAATTTTTCAACGAGATCTTTAGACCAGACTAACACGACGGTATCTTAAAAAAACAATCGCTCAACGAGAGAGAAAATAAGTAAGAAGCAAGAGAGGCTCACCTCCGTCATAATCTACAAAGTGAACTTATGAGCAAATGCTGCGAGAATAAGGATGAGGAGAAAGTGCCGACCTCCACCACCCAAGTAGCTTGCCAGTGATCGCTCGCCTTGCACCGGAAATATAATGACATCGAAGTAACTTGACAACTTAGGGTGACTGACGGCAGTGGCCTGACCCATGTGTGATGACTCGGAGGCAATCTTACGAGAAACAGTTTTCTTACCTTCTGGACGTCCGAGGGCAGTCTCGTGGGATTCCTCCACACCTAATCATAAATCTCAGGACAAACTTTGACAAAATGAAAGTGCTTACTAGAACGGGTCCTGTGATGGTATCCATATGGGTTCCACTTTCAGGATCGGTGATGAGTTGGGACGACCGAAAATGTATCTGGCCCTCCTCAAGTACACCATACGGATCTGTGGTCCGATTAGACGAGTAACAGTGGTCGTCAAAGGCGCTACTTGCCTGGTATGATGTAGGCCTCGAGGGACTCCTTGACCGGAATGTGACAATTTTTTGCATAATCGTCCAGAACGAGCATCACCACGCTCTTGAGCTTGTTAAAGAGCGGGTCGAACTTTAAGGGGTGAAATCCTGCCTGGAGAAGCTCGAGGACAGATTCATGTAGGGAGGTTGGTTGGCCGCTATGGGGATTGCGACTTCGGGGATCCGAGATAACCAGTGGCTGGTCCAATACGACATCACCATCATCATCAACCTCGTCACCCAGCTCTTCGTTGGGCCGAAGTTCGCCAAGGCCGAATGCACGGACCTGGCCAGCAATGCGCCGCCGCAGCCTGCAAATCACAACACGGCCAGCACGCTCAACAGCTCGCCAAACTACGAGCATTGAATCGAGGCCATCCCATTCAGTGAGCTGGCGCACTTCATTGTGCAGTCCATCAGCCATGAGTTCCTTCAAAATACCGGTAGGGACGTCATTGTGCGCTAAATTTACCAAAGTGTCTCTGGATAAGCGGCTCGGTCCAGTTACACGAGACGGCGCAACGAGATCAAAAATTCTGTGGGCAACGTCAACCTTGTGCAGCGGTCCGCAATCGATTTTGTTTTGCGAGTTACGTATCCAAATTTTTGGTGATCCATCGGCGACTTGATACTCCGGATCTGGGTGCAGAACCCACATTCCCTTGGCACCAGCAATACGTCCCTGCACAGCTGTCGGTCGACTCGGATATTGGATTACTCGCATGATGGCAGTCAATGCTGCACCACTGATGAACCCGCACCCATCGGTCATGATGTTTCCAACTGGATGCTCTCCCTCGCCGCAGTCCCCAGCATCTGTAAGACCTAGGTCAATGCAACATAGTTTCTAAGCTAGAGGAAATGCTACATTGATCGTCAATGAAGAATATATCCTGAGAGGCGAATTTGATTGTTGGTACCGAAGTTGATAGGCCGAGCGTCCATCGGGTAGACCATTTGCTGATGGGCTAGTCGAGGTGCGCGTCAGAGCTGCATCACGCGGACTCAAACGAGAAGGCAATCACCTGTTTTGAATTCAGCCTCAGTGGATTATGCCACTGTACAAATTCGTGAAGTGTTAGTCGGTGGCTGTCACCATCGCCAGGGTTAGTCTGCCGATCTATGTTTTCGTTGGTTTCAAAGAGGTAAACACTCCCCTCCTTCGCATGAAATGGTACGAAGACGCGGCCACACAACACAAATTTGCTGGACCCTAGAAACTTGGGGACTTCTGTGTCGTATATCAGGTTGTCCGGGACACGGATTTGGAGTATGCGTCGAGACCCCAAAAACCGACCAAATCGATGCGACCGCCGAATCTCGGGTTTTTCGAGCTCAAGTTTAAACGAACTTCCAGCTCTTACAATACGTGCAACTTGCTGAATCTTGCCTCCGTACCAATGTTCTTTTCCCTCCCAGTCGCCCATAGTTCCCAGGCCGCGGCCTTTGTTTTCGACAATCGCAAGTTGCTCTCGATCGTACTCGAGCCTTTCAGTCATATTTAGCTTGGAACTTGCGAGAGAATTGAACTTTATACCAAACTTCTGATGATGCTCTCGTTGCAAATGATGGCCCCATTTCGTCTTTGATAACGGCAGCCACTTTCCATGCAGCTTGCACATTTGAACCCCGGAGTTTACACAAACAGTGTTCTGTCATATCTTCGAACGTCCACATGCCGCGAGTGACACCTCGTGCCAGTTCATAAATTGTTCCCCACGCGAGATGTTGTTGATCGAGGACTATTTGAGCTCTCTTACAATGAGCGATGTGTACGATGTTCAACTGAACGCCAAACTCGGGAGGACGATGTTTTGTCCTTATCCCTATTTGTGGCGCATTCATCTGCAGGGCTGCGGTAAGCGTACGTTAAGCAGAACGAATGTGAAACCTACAGTTGGCGTGATGGGAGCAATTTGCGACGACCAGCCAGGCTCTGGGGGACGCTCCTGACCCATAGATCCAACGGACAACATCGATTCGAGTCTGGTTGTATGACTGTACGAATGAACAAAGAAGAATGCTATGTTGAGGTCGCTGTCTGTCTCTATCAGTGATCACATGAATGAACCAGCGTCTGAGTTTTGAACCCGTTCTAATGGCGAGGTAGAAGTTGAACCCTGCCAACTCGAGGCAACAAATCTAGTTAGGTAGGTTTAGAAGCGCATTAAAGGCATTATCATGATAAATGCATTGGTTCGCCAAGTCACAGCTGATCAGCAGGCTTCCGAGTCACGTTCCACTTCAATTGCATGGTGATTGTTTTGTACGCTAGGCCAGGCCATGCTACAACTTCGGCAATGATGCTCCTTCCACGTCAAAGGAAGAATGGGTACTTGGTCTGATCAAGTTGGTACAGGACTAAGTTGATTTAGGACTAAAGCTCGAAGGGTGAACGTTTGAACGGAGAAATTAGGTCTGACGAGCTCATGACCAAATATAGCAATTGATAATCAGGTCGACGCTCGGGGCCATCTTCTTCAAGTCAGACTGTAATCTGATCAGAATTTTGGTATTATGGTAAGTTAAAAAGCAAGGGTGAGATGCTGGCTGCTTACGGTGTACAATGATAGCCACCAAGACAAAAGAACCAGAATCCCTCGGGACTTGGTCGAGCTATCATCAATAAAAAGTTCAAGGATGCCAAGGAAAGACAAGAGTCCGACCTTGTATGTGATATTTTATATTCTGCATACGTTTATTCATGTTCTTAGTATACGACCGAAGTTGACTCGACAACCCGTCTTAAATCTGTTACGCAGGAGAGAGATCTAGATGAATTCCTGAACACAGCACAGTTGGCGGGCACAGAGTTTACGGCGGGTGCGTGAATGTGATTTCCTTTTGTTTATAGCCTCACGCGGAAAGGCAGAACGACGAAATGTGAAGATCATCCAGTCGCCTGCAGGATCAACACACAATCCCCATCTTCTCACCGATCAGGAAGAGGAGTCGACTTTGAAGAAGCACCAGCTGAATAAGGAGCGACTCAGGGTGCCCAGAAGACCTCCATGGACGAAAGCAATTACAACATTACAATTAGACCGACAAGAGAAAGATGCATTTCTCGAGTGGCGAAGAGGGCTTGCTCAGTATGTGGGAAAACCCATGATCTTTTGCAGCCACTAACCAATACCGATAAAGACTTCAGGAGGAGGACAAATTTCTGTTAACGCCATTCGAACGCAATCTCGAAGTTTGGAGGCAATTGTGGCGTGTCTTGGAGCGATCACATCTAGTCGTGCAAATCGTAGATGCTCGCAATCCGCTAAGATTTAGGTGCGAGGATCTCGAGTCGTATGTCAAAGACGTGGAAGGTGCAGAAGGCGAGGCGGGTACAGGAAGAGATAAGCGCAGAACTCTCCTGTTGATCAATAAGGCCGATCTACTCACTGCGACACAAAGGTGAGCGTGGTTTCACTTCTAATCGAATGTCTATCTTCATTCGAACCTTCACCCAAAGGCGCATATGGGCAGATTATTTTGATGGTCAAGGGATACAATACGCATTTTTCTCCGCTGCGAATGCTGCTGCATTACAGCAAGCCCGCCGGGATGCTATTGCTCAGGCCGAAGAGGAACAACTGTATGAGGATAATCAAGACGAAGCTTCACTGTCCGATTCAGATGGTCCGGATACGCCTAGCGATGTCAGTGATGATGACTTCGCAAAAGAGTCGGTGCCGGAATCGTCGTCTCATTCCGACAGCGACACGGACGACGAACATCAGTACGTTCACACAGAGGAAGATAGTCCCGACGGAAAAGATCCTCGTACCAAAGTTCTCTCAGTGTTGGAGCTCGAAGATCTCTTCGTCACAGCTGCTCCAGATCTATCAAGTGAAGCTCGATTGTTTTTCTAATTCAAGTAAAGGCTTACAGCTCGCCAATCGGTAGTATTTGCTGGCCCGTCTGGGGAACCTCCAACAAAACTAGTGGTTGGGCTTGTCGGCTATCCCAATGTTGGTAAATCCAGCACAATCAACGCCCTTCTTGGAGAAAAAAAAGTCTCCGTCTCCTCTACACCTGGAAAGACAAAGCACTTTCAAACTATCCATCTCTCCCCAGCGATAGTACTTTGCGACTGTCCTGGGTTGGTATTCCCTCAATTTGCGACGACCAAGGCCGCACTGGTTTGTGACGGTGTGTTACCAATTGACCAAATGAGGGAATATTCTGGTCCGGTAGCTCTGGTAGCCAAGCGAATACCAAAGGAGGTGCTTGAAGCGACTTACGGTTTGACTGTTAAATTCAAGGGCGTAGAAGAGGGGGGTGACGGAAAGATCACTGCGGAGGACTTCTTGATCGCCTATGCGAGTGGGTACTCTTCATTTGGTGAAAACAACTGTTTTTTCATCAGTAAACAGTTGCTCGAGGGTTCATGCGGTCTGGCCAAGGTAATCCAGACGAGGCACGAGCAGCGCGGTATGTCCTAAAGGACTATGTCAACGGGAAGCTCCTTTTCTGCCACCCACCGCCGGGCACGCCTGAGGAATCTTTCAACCAAACAACCCACGAACTATCGCTACTGCGAGTGACGGGAAAGAAACGTGCACCCGTCACAAGAGTTGGAAAAGGCGCGGATACATTCGTGCCTGCCAATCCGTCTCCCATACTTGTTGCTCAAGGGCAGGGGTTGAAATCTCAAGCTCTTGACCAAGACTTCTTTGCTCATAATTCGAATCTATCAGCACGGGCATTTTTACAAGGTACCTCTCGTAACGGGCAAGAGTTCTCGAGGGGAAGAATATATCCTCATCAAAATATGGTGGCTGATGATGGTACTCCATTGGGACATGGGAGCGCGAAACAGGCCGCTGTGTCGGCGAGTGCTAGTAATATTGGGAAGAAGCATAACAAAAAGAACAAGCGAGTGAAGCAGAGGAGTGGCAAGGGATATGATTGATGCTTAATACGCCGGTGGAACACACATTTATCTATTAAGAGGACTGTTGAGAGTGGTCGGGTCAAATTCCAAAAGTAGCAATGACCCCTCTGCAGTTCGATAAATGTCTCGAGCCGCATCTACGTTGCTTCTTGTTTCTTCTCTAAATCTACCAAGCATGGAAACACAGACACGCTCGCTAGGACCGACTCAGCCTGTACCTTCGTTTGTCTCTTCAAAGTCAGCACGTTCGCAGACCTTATCAAGATCGGATGTATGCGCCAAATTCGTTACAACGACCGCGGATGGACGCACAGAAGGTATTAATTTTATCTTCTTCTTCTAACCGGCGGTGATGATTAACAACGATCTGCTGCGCAGCAATAACTTTGAGTATTGGGAAACCGATAACCATTGGAAGGAACCCTTCTCTTTGGTCGCTTAACGCATCTTCTGCCCTAGGTTATCTTGTTTACTCATTTGCTCATATGCAGCTCGTACGTGATATCAGATATCGTGGTGTCCAGCCTACATTGCAAGATACACGCGTCAGTTCATATTTTTACGAACTCATACGTCTCCTAACACGCGTTAAACAGGGTCCAGTCTAGCACCGGAGGAATCATTGTATCATGCCAGGTAGTCACTTGTCTCGTGCTATCTTACTGACTCGACTTAACTGCTGCAAAGGACTTGTCGACAAATGGACTCATTTTGAATGGGCACAAAATCCGCAAAACATCTGTCATTGTCATGAATGGCGATACATTCAGAATACCAGCCTCGCAGAGTATATCTCAACTATGTGCCGCTTTCACCTTGTGCCTTGCTGACCTTTTATCAGCGTTTCAATGCATACTCAAATGGAGGCACCTTCATGAAAAACACGAAAAACACGCGTCACAGCCTTCTCAGTCACAAACGCAGTCATACAAAGTTACTACTGTTAACCAAAGCAACATATTAATTCTAAAGACTTCATGCAGGACCTCGGCCGATTCCTAATCACATCTCACTGCCTTGGAAGTGGGAGTTATGCCACCGTACAGCTTGCGCTTGATACCACAGGTCACCAACAAGCCGCCTGCAAGATTATTAGGCGCAAGGAAGGTAGTGACCTTAGAAAAGAGATGAAAGAGGCAACACTACTCATGAACCTGCATCACGTTCGTGCATAATTTCATCTCTTTATCCTGAAATGTCATGATCTTGATTTAAGCAGCCCAACATCAATAGGGTATATGCTGTCGATTTGGATCCGGAATTCCTGTATGTCGCTTGTTTTTTGGTTCACCGCCGAAGCGACAAATCGTGTGCATCAGATACATTATTCTTGAACTCTGTACCGGTGGCGATCTTTTCACGTACATCACCACGCACTCCAAACACCGATTATGCGAAGGGGAGGCAAAGTACATCATGTATCAACTCCTCAAGGGCTTGAAGTACCTGCACGATCGTATGATCTCCCACAGAGGTAAGGTTCTATACCTCTTCAGCGATGGCCTAGCTGAGCTTAAGGCAGATCTTAAGGTGACGCCCTGTGCGTATTTGAAATTGCTGACTTCATTCTGTCATCAACAGCCAGAAAACATTCTACTTTTTTCACCTGGACCTTATCCACGCATCCAGATTGCCGACTTCGGTCTTGCACGACCAAAAGCTTACCAAGAAACCTTGCATGTTTGTGGCACCATATCTTATCTCCCGCCAGAAGGTATCCTGGCGCTCGAGCACAAACATCTTGGCTACGTTGGTATGCCGGCTGACTGCTGGAGCGCAGGCGTGACGCTTTTTGCGATGTTGACGTGCGTGTTCTGCTATGTTTGTTGTCACAGAACTCACGTTCAGAGTTAATGCTCGGATTACTGAAGCGGAAGTCACCCATTCGATTTTGTCAGTTCTTCTCAATCTCGCATCTCTCTTGAAGACATCGTGGACTCTCAGGGCTTCGTCCAATCCCAACATGCGACGGCTCAAGATGAAAGAACAAAGCAACGTATCCTTGATGGGCAGATTTGTTTCCATGAGCCGATCTGGGGTCCACTTCGCGACGGTGCGTGCTTAAGATTACTTGTTGTTTCAGTCCTCTACAACCCATATCTTTCCGATTTGATAACCAATCCCCTGACTGTTTGCGGATGTGTAGCCAAGATCCTCGTCTCGCACCTTCTCGTCCCGGACCCGCAGGACCGTGCGACTGTGTACGCCGCACTCAAGAGTTGGTGGATCTGTATGGACCTCGAAGAGTTGGATCAAGCGTACCGAGAGCGAATCCGAGCGCACTTCACGTAATTCAGTTTGCAATACTGTCTGTTGTTATTTGCTTCTGTTGTGTGTTTTTGTGACACTAGATTTGTAGTGCTTTCGTGGTATTTGATTGCAATGGTTCATATCCGATTCTGGTCATAAAATTTATCTGTTGTCAGTGTGGTAGTGAAAAAAAAAAACTGCTGAGTTATAAATTGTAAGAATCACGGGGTGAAGGGCCTCGAAACTTGAGCATGAATATATGATGTCCTGAACATGCTGAGCTGCTATTCGTTCCAAGTAATGATGTCTCTATCTTCTTCTGAGTTGTGGTCACGTTTACGGTGCAGCATGACACGTTCGCGTGAAGGAAACAGTCTGTTACAATCTACGGGCGCTAGTGAACAGACAGATAACAAAAGGCATAACGCGTACCTTGGAATGCACAAATGTATATCGGTGTCCTACAATAATGAGTGAATCAGAACACGCCGGTGTGATGTAGTAGACTTACTCTTGAGGAGAGGTGATGCGAGCGAGACCAGCTATTAGCTGATCATGAGTTGTCGTTGCTGTCAGACAAGTCACTCAGTTCACATAACATCATGAACATGTCCTTGCTTACTGTCATGGGTCGCAGGCTTCGACTTGAGGACGGACGGTAACGACGGACCATGCATTATTACAGGATGAAGAAATCTAGCACAGCCACTTCTAATTACCAAAAGTTGACCCCTGCAATTGAAAGCAGTCTACTAAGTACTGCTTACTCTCGGGAGGGTATGTATGACTTATCTTCATCACCGTCAACCACAGTGAGCTCCACTCTCAAGACGCTAACTTCCCGCTTCGAACATCCAGAAAATAGTCGAAACGACGAAGAAATACCTGCAAGTTGGTCTGGGATGTGGGGTACCCGGTTAACGTCCACTACGACCATCAATGGCAGGGTTGCACGTGGCGTTCACGGCAGGTCGTTCAGCGCTTCTTCAGCGTCTGCCCCTTCTTCATGGGCACTCCAGCACCCGGTATCTATGTCTATTAGCACTAATCAGAAACCACCTGTTGTGTGGTGGCCATTATCGTCGTCTGCCAGAGACATGCCGCTATCCAGTTCAGTGTCGACAGATGGCTCACCATCATCGTCGCGTCCGCCATCTCCAGGGATGTCGCTACTAAACGAGGCGTTGAGTGACAGCATCCTTCCGACATTTCCTCCACGCGCACGACTGCCTCAATCCTTTTCGCCTGCTCGCCTGCTCAGTCGTCCACCTCCATTACTCAGTAATCTGTTATCAACTCTCCCGTCAGTATCTGTGACTTCTATTCCTCCACACAATCAAAATGGACTCCCTTCATCCTCTGCAGACTCCGTAGCTCACACCGACGAGCCACGTATATCGCTGAACCACTCCCTACCCACCCATTCGTCCATCGATACACTGCGTTCGATCCATGCATCTACCACACCACAGATTGCGCCCCCTCCTATTCCAAGCAAATGGTGGTTTCAAAGTGATTCAGACTCGGGGATTAAGGACAACGTGGGCAAGCTCCTCAATGAGGAAGATCAGGCTTCATCGTTGAATAAAATCCATCAGAAGTGTATGTTTATAGTTTATTCCTCAAGCTTGGCTAACCGCTTGTGTGTAGATCGTTCACCGAAAGCCCCCGTTGTATTCTGCCATGGACTTCTTGGTTTTGATACCGTAACCGTTGGACCTTCCCTTGCACCCTTACAGGTTGCACATTGGCGTGGTATCAAGGAAGCATTGGAGGCAAATGGCTGTGAAGTTCTTATCACGCGGGTACCTGCAACAAGTTCCCCTGTAGAACGCGCAAAAGTTCTCGAGAAAAAGATCTCAGAAGTTTATCCTGGCCGTGCTGTCCATCTCATAGGACACAGCATGGTAAGCTGAGCACTGAGGTAGACGATCACCCTTACTGACACATTGCAGGGCGGCCTCGATTGTCGTTACCTCACAACACACCTCACCCAGCGCAAGTTTTCTGTGATAAGCATCACTACAATTGCTACTCCACATCGCGGCTCTTCCTTCGCGGACCACTTCATGTCGCTCGCCTCGCAGCATCTCCCATCCGTTCTCGCGCTACTCGAGCTACTACCAAACGGTGGCGGCGATGGGAAGGCATTTGAATGTCTTACTGTAGAAAGCATGCGTCGGTTCAACGAAGAGACACCTGATGCTGACGGTGTGCGCTATTTTAGTTGGGGTGCATGCTATGAACCAGGGCTTATTGATACATGGAAATGGCCACATAGTGTTATCTTAGAGAAGGAGGGTCCGAACGATGGGCTGGTTAGTGTCGAATCAGCCAAGTGGGTGAGCGCGCAGGATGACTCCTTGGTGTGTGTGCCTTGCTGAATACGCATGCAGGGCACATATCTCGGTACCCTTTCACCCGTGAACCACCTCGACCTTGTTGGATGGACGAATGCTGCGCGATATACGTGGGCCTCGATGTGGGGAAAGGAAATTCTTTTCAAGCCTGCTTCATTCTACCTTGGTATCGCAGACCTGCTGGCCGGAGTAGAGGAGAGCGAGGACGATGATGCTACGCTAGAGAACGGCGTGGTTGAAGGTCATCGGGAGAGAATGCAGCAGAACCTCTTGGGTAGTAGTCCATCTCCCAGATCGACGTCAAGCCCGCTGCTGAGGATGCACCCTGCACTTGGAGAGATGGTATCAAAAGCGCAAGAAGAATCAATGTCACTACCCCAGCGTACTTCCCAACCAGCGGAAGGATCGAGATCTGCGACATCCCCAGAAGCACTCTCGTCAACGAAGCAGAGATCTCTACCCCCTACACCTCCTCATGACGAGACACCACCTACACCACCTACAAAATCGTCAACCCCGCCTGCACATGTGGAAGAACGAGACTAGACTACCCTTCACGCATTGTGCCATACCCGTAATTGCAAGATTAAGTATCTGTTAGTCGTATTGTATTCTAATTGCTTACTACTGAGATTCAGCATTGATTAGTATCTCTCACGGAATAAAACACATTTCATCCAATGTGAGTTGGAATAGGCCGAATTATTAATTTAATACCATGACCGGGGGGTGGACCGGATAAGCGAGGAATCATGATCATGAGACGAGTGTCCAAGCCATCTCACCCACCGACAAGCGTGTATCATTCTTGTCTGTTTCGCCAACCCGCACATTTGATAGTTTTGATCTTCCTATCGTGAACTTCAACATTGACGTATAGCCCGCCGACATGTCACTCGAAAAACTTTCATCGAACAAGCATTACGAGGGGACGCTCGCAAAGTACAAGTTTAGAGTACGTCGTTTTGGCAGCGGCGGCAATGCCACGCTGATAATGAGGCTCATAGTCTGCTGCTCTGGGCGATACCTATACTCAATTCAATCTCTTCCTCCCCGCCAATGCGGCTCAGGGGAAGGTCCCTGTACTTGTTTATCTTGCAGGACTCACCTGCACGGAGGATAATGGGTGCGTGTTAAACGTCCTTCCGTTGACTCCACAAACTCACATGACGAAACACGGTCCACACTGCACAGGGCCCAAAAAGGCGGTTTCATGCGCGATGCAGCAGCTCAGGGTATCGCACTGCTCTTCCCTGATACCTCCCCGCGTGGTGCAGGTATCGATGGTGAAGATGTAGATTGGGATTTTGGCAGTGGTGGGTAATCTCTATCTTGGTCCTCATCCTTATTTAACAGTGGAGGCGGTGGATAGGCGCTGGGTTTTACCTGAACGCAACGAATCCCAAGTGGTCCAGACATTATAACATGTTCAGCCATGTCACTCAAGAGCTCCCTCAGGTGCTTGAAAAAGCAGGCTTGCCTCTCGTCTGTCTCAACGCGTCTTATCTTTCCCCCTTCTTTCCCTGACAACAATATTCACAGGACTTCACACGCCAGTCAATTTTCGGACACTCGATGGGCGGACACGGGGCGCTGACTGTGTACCTTGCGTCACTGTTATCGGGGATGAAGCAATATCGTAGTGCATCTGCGTTCTCACCCATCTGCGAGCCATCCGAGGTGCCATGGGGCACGAAGGCATTCTCGGGGTACCTTGCGGGCGGTGTTGCGGAGGGGAAAGACCGATATGATGCAACAGCGATGATCGGGAAGGTGAAAGGAGCGGTGAATATACTTGTGGATTATGTGCGTCATGTTTTTGTCTATTCATTGGCCCTTATTAGATGGGGCTGATGTAGTAACAGGGTACCGCGGATAATTTCCTGTACCAACTGCATCCGGACAAGTTCCTCGAGGCTGCGCGTGTGGCTGGGCATGATGAGGTACAGGTACGAGTAAGGAAACAGGAAGGGTACGATCATAGCTACTACTTCGTGGGTCTCTGCTTTTGGATGATGGGGTGATGTACTGACAACGGAATCATGATGTACAGATATCGACATTTGCATCAGACCATATTCACTGTGAGTTTCTATCTGGTTTCTAGAATGTGTCAATACTGATGCGAAGAGTTATTAGTCCATGCTAACTTCCTGAAAGCGTAGAATGAATAAGTAAGAAGCCAACCTTTTTGTACGAATGGAGATACGTTAGCTGGGCGTTAAGTCTTGCAATGGACTATGCAGTGAGAATTGGATTGACCTAAGTTATCTGCCGAAGACGGCTGAGTGTGGGGAAAAAAGTGAGACGGGTTTCCTGTTTGATTACCAAAGGAAAGGTTACTTTGAGAGCCGCCGCATAGCTTAGACAGCGTTCGTTGCGAGGGAGACCGGAGATTGTTGAATGATGTTCATGATGTTCAGATTTTATTAGCTATTGGTTAAGAGACTAGCAGCTGAGTACTTGGATGAAAAAGCAAATAGTTGTAAACCTAATACAGAAACTGAGTACTGTGCTTATACCATCAGACAAGCCTGTTCTCTACAACGACAACAAATTGTCATAGCATTTCGTCCTTTTCACATACTCACTCTTAATTCTTCAAACAAAATTTATTAGCCAACCATACCGTCCATCCTAGTAAACAGAGCACGAAGAATGTCATTCTTCTCAAGGAAGAAGCAGCCTAGTGCAAGTCAGCTCGCTGCTTCATCCGTAACAGTAGCTCAGACTCCAAGCCAAGCTCTCGCGCAGCTGGCTGCAAAGGACAATGCCGTTCAGCTTCAACACCTACGTGACAATGATTCGTGAGTTCTTCATATTCAACTTTTCTTCTCCCACAGCCGTTCATCATTTTCTTCATCCCAGCTCCAGTTCAAATACCGCAAATGGCCTTGTAGCAGCCCCCGCTCAACGTCAACAAGCTCGTGGAACCAGCCCCATTATACCGCAACAGCCATCCCAGTCACAGCAGCAACCACCTCAAGCATCCCAGCAACCTCAACAACGGCCAGCTTATCCCTGGTCTGCACGGCGCTTACTCCTCCCGCCCCCACTCGTAATCCCGAAACCTGGCGTGCCCGCACCAAATTCACCCTCACCTTCACCATTCCCTCGCTATGGTCATGCACTTCCGGCGACAGCCACTGCTTCGGGAGAATTGTACCTTTTTGGTGGTCTCGTTCGCGAAACCGCCCGCAATGATTTATATCTTTTCTCTACTCGCGATCTTTCTGCGACTCTCGTGCAGACAGCCGGAGAAATACCATCGCCACGAGTTGGTCATGCTAGTGCAATCGTTAGCAGCGTTCTCATTATATGGGGAGGCGACACAAAAACAGACCCCTCGTCCGATCAGTCAGAAAAACAAGATGATGGCTTGTATCTTCTGAATCTCGGTGCGTTCACACTAGTTTTTCAGAGAAACCATACTTCACGTACACCTCAGTTTCACGAGAGTGGACCCGGGTAGCTATGCACGGACCTGCACCTGCTGGACGGTATGGTCATGCCGTTACTATGGTTGGCACCAAATTTTTCGTTTTCGGAGGTCAGGTAGATGGCGAGTTCCTGAATGACCTCTGGTCATTTGATCTCAATACCCGTAAGTCCCATCCAATTTAAGCTTATTTTCCTAAACCTTATGTTATGTTATGCTCTGAGTACGGACAACAACAGCTTGGGAGCTGTGTCAACCCGTCGGAGCCGCCCGTCCTGCTCAACGCACAGGACATGCCTGTGTAACATACCAGGATCGCATCATCGTGTATGTCCGTCATTCATTCAATACTGGCTCGCATTCACGTTTCACAGGTTCGGAGGAACAGATGGCCAATACCATTACAATGATACATGGTCTTATGATACTAATACCAGGACCTGGTCGGAACTGCAATGCATTGGGTTCATTCCCTCACCTCGAGAAGGTCATGCAGCCGCTGTAGTTGACGATGTCATTTATATATTCGGTGGCCGGGGTGTAGACGGCAAAGACCTTGGCGACTTGGCAGCGTTCAAGATGTCAAGTACGTGATTTGATGAATGATAGGTGTCCGCGTTCTAAGCTTATCATGTACAGACCAGCGGTGGTACATGTTCCAAAATATGGGACCAGCGCCTAGTGGCCGTTCGGGTCATGCTATGGCGTCCATGGGAACCAGAGTTTTTGTTCTTGGCGGGGAGTCTTTCACGCCAACCAAGGGCGATGACCATGGAATTATCAACGTTCTTGACACTAGTACGTGACCCCTCGACTGCACAAATGTCACTGCTGACGGATTGCTCAGAGCACATCAAATACCCTGATTCAAGCAAAGGACCACCAGGCAACAAGTCTGATCGAAAATCATCTGCAACACCTACCCCTCCGCCAGGACCACCTGCGCCAGGAAATAATGTGCCTAATGGTACCCGTGCCATGTCACCGACAGGCGCTCCACAAGACGTAGACGACCTCCGGCGGGCTATATCTCCACCAGGAATCCGGCCTGGAACTCGTACACCGAATGGTGCCCCTGTGCACTCATCTCCCAATACCAAAGGTAAAGCACCGACACGCCCTCGAAGAGACGACGGGGATGTGTTGGGAACGGATGACGGGAACGGGACAGACACCGGTGCTACCACCGAGTCCGTCACTACTTCTCGAGATCACGCACCATCTCCAGATCAGACCCGAGCACGGAGTCCCAATTCTTTCAGTGTCACCCGTGCGATGTCCCCGACATCTCAGAGTGGATCCGATCTCTATGGCAACGTACAGCCACCCAACGTGGCAAGCGTGGCGATGAGCGGTCTGGCTGCCCGAAGTCCATCACCAGTTGTGGATCGTAGCAGGCCTCCACTTGATGCTTTCTATCAGCCATCAGGTGGTTCTCCCGGCGTGAACGGGAATGGAAATGGCCATGCCCAGGGGAAGTTCGGTTCAACGGGCAATGTGACGGCTGATCTGATTCGGGATTACAAGGTTAAAGAGATGGAAGTCGAGACGTTGCGGAGGCGAGAGGCTTGGATGAAGACAGCGCTTTTGAAGGCTTCCCGGTCGGGCTTTGTCCAACTTGATGAAGAAACATTGGAAGCTGAGGATATAGACTTCCAAGATGATGCCAGTGATGAGCAAAGGAAACTTGCTGACATGGTCATGAATTTCAGGCACTTCAAAACCCAGATGCAGGTGTGTTTTATCCTTTCAAGAACAAATGAGACGTTCCAACGAAGACGCAGACTACCCTGGTCAATCAAGCCCGCCAGGCCTCTGAGCGCATTGCGGATGCTGAGCGCATGAAGTCCGCTGCAATCCAGGAAGCTGCATACTACCGCGCGAAGCTAACTGCCCACGAAGCATCTACACCTGGCGAGGTCTCGCAAATAGAGCGAGAGCGTATTGCTGAGCTCGAACGCCATCTTGCCACTCTATTGGCGGAACACACTGCGCAGAAGAAGACAGCAGACGAACTGAGCGACTCGCTTGCCTTGCAGACTACGCTTCTTGAGCAGGCGGAGGCACGGTCCTCTGACGCCAACAACCGTGCTGATGCCCTGGAGGAGACACACCATCGTGTTGTTCGTGAACACTCTGAAATCCGAGACCGTTACGTAGAAGCCGAGGCCGCTCTTCGAGATCACGCCGATCGACTTCTTGGACAGACTTCTCTGCTTGAGCAAAAAGACGCTGAGGCTTCCCAGGTCAAGAGACAGGTTGAAGAGTTAAGTCAACTCCGGGATCAGCATATCCGCGCTCTCGATCAAGCCCGTACGGCACTACAGGCCGTAGCCTCCCGCTCAGAAGAGGATCAACGTGCTCGTGATCAGATAACTCAGCTTGAGGCCGACATTGCAGAATTACGCGGTGACCTGGAGACTCGCACATCCGAAGTGGAACAAGCGAGGATAAGGCTTGCAGAAGTTGAGAACGCGTGGGCCAAGTCTCGTGAAGAAGCTGATGCGTTCCGTGCACTCACCACTGGCAGTCTTGGCGAACTTCTCGACTCGCATCGTGAACTTAGGGTAGACGAAGACCGGTTAACGAGAGGACATGTGGAGAAAGTGGAGGCTATGGAGGTGGAAGCTACTTCTCTACGGAAGATGTTGAAGGAGGTCACGCAGCAGCTGGAGGAAGTGCAAAGAGACCTCTCAGAGGAACGGCGCAGGGTACGACAGACGGAATCCGAGCAAACATTCCTACGATCCCAAATTGTGGGCCTCCGAGCGCAATTGTCCAACTCTGTCCTGGAGCAGGGTCGTCTGCGCAAAGATCTTGCAGAAAAGGATAATGATCTGCGGGGAGCATTGAAAGAGACGGCCGATACCAATATCCGTCTGGCAATGCTTCGGAACTATCTTTCAGAAAATGGCATCATCCCAGATTCGGATGAACCTTCCTCAAATTCGGCAAGTGCTTCACGATTGGCAGACCTGGAGAAACAGCTAGAAGAACGCTCCTTGATGTACGAACGCTCAGAGCGGGAACTCAACGGAGCCCTTCGGAGGAAGCGCGAACTCGAGGCACAGTTAAGTGCGATGTCACAACAACAAGATCGATCGAGGTCCATGCAGAACCCTGATAATCAAGGTGACTCAGATGCTGACGCACGCGCTCTTGAAGCTGAACGGAAACTCGAGGAGACGGAACGGAGCTATAAGGCGCGAATGCGCCAGATGGAAGAAGACTACCAGCTTGCTGTGCATTATGTAAAGTGAGCTTTTCCCCGAGTACCTATGCATGTCCCGGGTCTAATTGTCCATCGCAGAGGAACTGAAAAAATGATGCGAAGGATGAAAGATGAGGTTACGAGGACGAAGACTGCCTATGCTAGTCTGCAAGCGGAACTGGACACTGTTCGAGGACGATCCAGTACTGAACCGCGACGTGGTGTCAACGGTCGCAGCACTCCTTCAGACGACAATCACGAGCACCTTCGCGGCCAGTTGATTGATGCACAAAAACAAAGCTCGCGTTTAATCAATGACAACAAAGATCTCCGTCAAAGAATGGAGACGCTGGAGAAGGATCTCGACATTATGAAGGATAACTTCGTCATCTCTCAACGAGAGTTTGACGAACGCCAAACTCGTGTGGAGGAGCTTGAGTTGGAGCTTGAAAGAATGAATGCTACTCTTGCTGTATATCGCGAAGGAAGTGGCGCCAGTTTATTGGAACAGCTCACCGTCGAAAACACCAACCTCAAAAGGGAAAACGAACAACTTTCGCACAAAATTCACCTTCTCCTGGAAGTCGATCAACCTCTCAAACGACCATCCAGCATGACGAGCTCAGAGAATTTCGAGCACCTGTCGAATGAACTGGACGATTGGCAGCGACAGATGGCTAGCTCGTTTGGTGCCCGGCGACCGCTTAGCGACCTCGAATCCCCCTCTCATTTAGTAGGACATGAGCGAACCCGGTCGCGATCGTAACATTTGTTTTTTGTGTCATTTGTTTTTTGCTTTGCACATATAGTTATACCCTTATTGCCTTGATTGCTGACCGCCGCTCATGCTCACACTCGTTTCGTTTCGTACTTCTACGCTACTCCATTACTTCCTCGTTGCTCGACATCGAATATTCTTCATATATATTGTGACATGCATCGACATTTGCGACATCTCGAGTTTAACTCATTGTGAATTAGATGCAGCTTTTTGTGTCCACTCGACTGCCTTCTGCTTGACAGCCGATGCACCTTCCTCATCCCCGATCCTCCGCTCCAGTTCAAGCCACTTCTTGAAAAATGACCTTTATGCGACATTAGCACATGCAATTCCACTAAGTGGTAGAACACATACTTTGCCTTATGGCTAGTCATCTTAATGCCAAATATACGATTGAAGATGTTTCTGCGTACTGTTATGATAGTGAGGGCACTTTGGGAGGCAGAGTGCTTACCTTAATGATTGAATATCCCCTTGCCCTGCTTCCATATCCATATAAATCGACCACAAGTCCCAGCGCTTTGGATGAGAGTCTACGATCCCCTCGAATATAGTCTTGCCTCGTTCCGCATCGCCGAGTTTGTATTCGAGCTGAGCGAATTTTGATATTGTTTTCAAGTCTGTACATCTCATTCAAGTCTGAATACAAGAATGTCATCAAACGACTCACGCTTGCGCTTTTCCAAGCTTTGCAGTGAACGCGGTAGAAGTTTGCGTGCTTGCTCCAAGTTTCGGCGGCGCATATAATGTTCGCAAAATAAAGTCCACACTTTTGAACTGTGGCCGAACTTCTTACACGTCCGCTTATACTGATCCTCTGCTTTCTGCGTGCATCATCATTAGTACAGTAGTGAAGCCGAGATAACAAACCTGCCTCGTGCTTCTCGCTCTGATCTAGGATGGCCGCAAGACGGAGATAGACAGTTTTGGAGTCATTATGTCGAGCAGCATTCTTGAAGACGGCCTCCAGTGACTCATCTGTGCCATAAACATTTTCGACATTCAGTAAAGCAATCCAAACGTTGAGCCGCTCTTCCTCCTCCCTGAAACTGATGGTCTGAATTGCTCGTCGGCCAGTCTCCCTTGCTTTATCGATTTCGGATAGTTGGAGGAGAAAAGACATGTACTGCACCCACAGATAGGATGAATTTGGGGAGCCCAGGAGGAGCCGCTCAAAGTCGGCATTTGATTCTGGAAGCTTTGAATGCATGTCAGCAGTGAGATCTTGCTCGATCTCTTTCTTCTTGCGTCTTTTCTTTTTGCTTGACTCATCCTCTTCGCTGCCTTCGTCGGAAGAAGAAGCTTCATCAAACTCCGCATGAGACCTGGTGTCACCAGAGAACCAAGAAAACCCTTCAACTTTCAAAGGCGCAGCTTGTTCGGGAGTGTGAGACCTCGGCATCGACTGCGACTGGGTAGGTACAGCTTTTACTTGTGGCAATGGACTGCTACGTTTGCTGACCAGGGCCTTTGAAGGGATGGACTCGTGAGCATGAGATGAACGTAGTGACGGAACGCGCGGTGTTTTGTGGACAGCCACTACACTCTCTGCGACAGGACTTGATGTAATGTCGCTGGTATCGGCCACCTTGACAGCTTTTGGTAATGACGCTTGACGAATGCTTGCGACAACTCGTGGTGGATTCAGGTCAACGGTTAAAATTCGTACTTTGACGACTCTTCCCGCGATAAACATGTCCTTCAATTTGCTTGAATAGTCACTGCGAGGCAAAGCGTCAATCAAAAGCAAAGCCAACGACAAAATTGAACAAACCTTGCTTCTCGAGACGGCACAAACGCCTTGAGATCGTTGTAGAATCGGACAATCAAGCCTTTGTCCACAACTCGGTACACTACTGCATCTGTGATTATCCCGACTTTCGCCTCCTCAATAGAGGTCAGGACCGGTAGAGTAGATTCAATCAACGTCTTTTTGGCCGTCAACTCAACTCTCATGCGTTCGGGGTCGACGGCAAGAACCTGTGGATTTCCTTAACATGCATAACATCTAATGATTACAATCGCGTACCCGGCATTTTATGCTGCCTCCAGCCTTGAACCTTTTTGATGGATGCTTGAGCGGTATATCTGCGTAGTGATTTGGCCATATGATTCCATCCGCATTACAAGAGATCGACACGAATAGGGCGGAATCCGTAAGGCGTTTGACAGTGCCTTTCAGGACCTCTCCGACTTGTACATCACCTGCCTGAAGGAATCTTTGATCTAAAATTGAGGGTCGGAGGGACAGCTGCAGTAATCCGTCCAACGGATGGTAGCCTATGACACGCGCTCTATGAATGGTATTCAATCTCCATGGGCCCGAGGAGGAAGAGAGCATTGGAACATGTCCATCAGATGTGTGAGATATCTACCAAGGAATTAGTTTTTGGATAATAGAATGATGTGAGACCTTACATGTATGAATCCATCAAGGTGAGGCTGCACTTCAACGACGAGTCCACGTTCCGGCTCTACGCGTTTCACAGTAATAGCATCCAAGATCGTGCCATTGGGATATGCCAAGTGAATGGCAGTATCATCAGTGGAAAGTTTTTCTTTCAAGTTGACAATGTGATCCAAGAGCGACACAGAAAACTTCGGCGGTGAACTTCCGGCGATTTCGTACAGTATTCGGGCCTTCACTTTCTGCCCTATCTTGAATACTTTGGCAGTGTTAGTGGGTACGTTGAACTCGTCAGCTGTGGCATTGAAAAAGCCAAGTGTCTGTAAATTGATACCACTTGGTGAAATTCCCGTGATCAATGCTTGACCTAGTATTCCTGGCAATATGGAGGTGACATTATTGACTTCTGTGATCTGTGAATTGGAATATGATGAGAAAAATCGCAAATCGTGATCAGCAAGACTGACTGAAGATGACTGTATCACTTGGGGATCGACCGAAACTGTACATATTTTCTCGTTGCTGGACATCTTCACGACAGCGATATCGAGCAGTTGGCCAACATGAAGCTTCGAACAGTCGGTACCACCTTTTTTGGCCTCTTTAAAGGATAGGAAACCAGAGGAGCCCTGTACACCGATGTCAAGAATGTACCCATGGTCTTCTACACTTTGCACAGCCGCTGAGAGTGTCTACGCGAGGCTTAATCATGATAAAATGATGTGATCTAGGATATTGCTCACAAAGCCAGGTTTAAGATCTGTTTTAAGGACTCCAGAGTTTACTGTCTTGGGTACAAGACTCAACTCGATGCGACGACTAGCTTTCGCGGCTTCATCCCTTAATTTTCCGATTGCAGAAACATCCATAGATCCTGATGCGTGCACATTGGTCACAATTGCACGGACGTATTGTCCCGCATGGAAGAGTTGAAACAAATCCGGCACCTCCGTCTGAGAATCGGATTCCCTATCATCAACGGATTCGGTATCTGAAGGCTCTTCTTGTTCATGCATTGATTCGAGACGATTAGTCAACTGAGATGTAACTTGTGTGATAGGAACGTGACCCATGAGCTGGTTCGGTAGGGATATAATGAGAGCCAGCGGTTGTATCGATGCGATTTGACCAAGCAATTTCATACCCGGAACAATGCGCTGCAAATGCGTGATTGAGTCCCTGCTCTCCAGCTTCATGATGTGAAAGCTACCTTGTAATTGAGATGCTCGATGCGAACTACATCTCTCTTCGGCGTAACACTCGCCTTGCTTTTGGCATCAGATCTACTCTTCTTTTTTTGAGTCTTCCCAGACGCCTACAACAAATTCTGCTCTGTCAAGCTCATTTGGAGTAAGACGAGCAGAACTCACAGCAAATAGCTCCTCGTTTGCTTCTTGTGTAGCTTCAGCTCGGATAGTCTTAACCTCTGCAGCTGTTAGGCTAGTTCCACCTCCTCGTGGAAAATCAACCTCTTCGTCCATGAGATTGGATACGAGTTGGACAGGTTTTTCCAATACATCTGTTAGCCTGTCTTTCACAAATTTACTCTTTTTGACATTGCGGGGCGAGTTATCCTCTGGGGCACGTTTCTGGCCAGCCATGCTCTTGATAAATGCGAGGATTGGAGGGTGTCAACACTGCAGCGCGTAGTATCCGACCGTTCAACACGTAATGGAGTGGAAGCTTGAAGATATCTTCCCTACGGCTGCGAGTTCGGGTGTGGGCTGCAACTTGCCCGTTACTCACATTTGAGCGACTCCGAGAAATTACAAGCAGCTGATTATGTCAGCATTAGCCATCTCTTCCAACCACCTCATCGTACTCGCAAACTTACTATGGGTGAGTCGCTCTCTTTGTCCCTAATGACATCCCTCAATTATCAATTTTCTAGATTTTCAAGTAAGTCATGTCTTGAGTGATTTCAGAATTTAAATTCACCTTGCTCTAGAACCGTGTCGGCTCCAAGTTCGGTGGAGGTGGTGTCGCTGGGGCTTCGGAGACCAATGTGGACAGGCGTGAACGTTTACGCAAACTTGCGCTTGAGACGATCGATCTTGCCAAAGTACGCCCTTATTTTTCTTGCACTTCAACGATAACTTGATGTGTCATTTAGGATCCTTATATCTTAAGGAATCACTTGGGTGGCCTCGAATGTCGTCTCTGTCTGACGCTTCATACCAACGAAGGTTCATACCTGGCTCATACTCAAGGAAAGAAGCATCAGACCAATCTCGCTCGTCGTGCGGCTCGTGATGCTAAGGACACACAGTTGATGATTGCCCCGACTCAAAGCAATGTACAACGCAAGGTGTTCCTCAAAATAGGACGCCCAGGCTACCGAGTAACAAAAGTGCGGGACAAAGATACAGGCAAAGAAGGTATGATGGTCCAGGTCCACCTTCCTCAGATCAAAGCGGACGTAATCCCTCGCCGACGATTTATGAGCGCTTGGGAGCAAAAGAGGGAGCCCCCGAACAAGGCATACCAGTATCTGATCGTAGGTGCGATTACTTCCAAAGTCACACGTTACTTATTGGATATTAGGTGGCTGCTGAACCGTATGAGACAATTGCTTTTCGCATTCCTGCGCGCGAGATAGAAGACGAAGCTGACGATGCCGGATATTGGAACTGGTCATATTGGGATCCTGATACGAAACAGTATAGCTTCCAGTTCATGTTCCGTTTGACTTATTGACGCTACCTGCTGCTCACACAATGTTCCCTCCACGTCGTATCTGTACTCATTCCCGCCCTGAATTATGGGATCATTTTTGCCATACTTGGTGTGGTTCATGTCGAATATCACATGCATCACCTCCGATATAGGATGTCTCGATTCGATACCATGTCATCGACAATGCGGTGAGCCCCAGGGTCACTACACGTAGCAGACTTCTCTTTACTGTGGAAGGCACTTGTGGGATTGACCCAGCAGACCTGTCTTCTTTGGGTGTTTCCACGGACACCCAAACTCTCGGTGTCAAAGTTCTTTCTGGGGGCAGTAGATTGATTGGCACTTCGTTAAAGAGTCCATTGCGCTCAATACGGTAAGGGCGATTTGGTGGCAGCTGTGCTCGTCCAGGCACTTAATGGACCAACTAATTCTTTGATCAAGAATGCGCTGCTATTCCTGTCCATGGATGTTGACACCGTTCGTGGCCCACGTCGTGGGAATACGAAGGACTGAACCCTACATTACCGTGTATCAGTGAAACCGGTACTAACTAGAGGCGCGAACTTTGAGCGATAGCACCTCTAACTAGAGCCTCAGTTTATGTGGGGGTTGCATCCCTATGGTCGGAGCGGAACTGACTCTTTCTACGCAATCATGCAGTGCTTTGGGGTAACCCCTGGGGGAACAAAATGATAATCTGTAGCATTACAGAATGACAGATGAATATGGTGCTATGCAGATAGCCATCTTGATTAACTCCGGCCATGCATCATGCGCTCTTCGGACAGTAAGCGCTTTTCCCTCAATGGAGGTGCGGATATTGATCGATGCTCAGGTGCTTATAACTATGGTTACTAGCAATCTTGGCGCGGCGTTATTCGTTTCACCGTGCAGTTATCGAATAGATAGCTGCCTCAAGGCCAGATCTTATGGCGCCCACCGAGAATGGAGTATCGTCGACTTGCATTGGGGAAGGACTGACGGTATAGCAGAATCAATATGTTGGTTCTTGTTATTCAAGTTACTCTTATCAAAACTTCACTGGGTCACTGATGGCTATCAATCTGCGGCGTGATGAGAGTATGTATGTACATCCAGTGGCCCTTATTCAAGCTTGACACCATAGGAAGCCTATAATACTTTTCCGGAATCCGAAGCAAGAACTCGAAGCACGAATCGGAAGCTGGGCACAGGATAGTGACGTGTTGGTGACCATGATCCTCATGTGTATGTTTACTTTAAATCAACTCCTTCCTTCTTGCCGCCTCACCACCGCGAACTACTTATACCCCGAGGTTACAGTGTCCTAGACCCTTTCTTCGGTCACCCCACTGCTCCGCTTGTCGTATTTGCAATGTCTAGTAACGTTGTTGAGGATTGTGGACCCATCCTCCTCGGTGGCTTACTCGCCTTCGGGTGCGTGGTTAGTCTCGATATACAACCTGCCTGACACAAGTCTTAATAGCTTATCGGGTTGTGTAAACATGCAATTTTTCGTGTATTGGCGGCTGTACTCTTACGAGTCTTTGCGTGCCAAGTCTCTGGTATGGAAATTATTCTATGAGCTTCCACTTTTTAATTGCCTACACAGGTCATTGCAACTTGGTACGTTCAAGCGACTTTTTGCACAAGTTCGGCGACAATATAATTTCAGGCTGCTTGACTTGTGTCATTCTGCATTTGTGGCAATCGCCCTGTGGGATTCCATCATTATGCCCTACAGTAGTATGGATGAATCTGACAATATCCCTTGGTACGCATGGTCTCATTATTCACTATCAACTGGAAAGTTAATGTGCTACTTTAGGAGTGTCGGTGTGAGTATTAGTAATCTAGACCTATTGGACTATCCTTATAATAGGCCCTTCTAGCCTACGGTCGGGCTTACTGTGTGTTTTCATACGTGTGAAATTGTTTGATCCTAAGCAAAATATTCGCCAGGCTATGATCACCTTCCTCGTCCAAAGGTCAGTTATGTTAGACAGCTAATACATTCAACCCTCACTCGTCGTCTCAGTTTTTTTGCGTACCGAATCTACAGACGTTCGTACCTTTCTTCAATAATGTTTCCCCAATACTAAAGTTGGTCGATGTGAAGTGCAAAAGAAGAGACTTGCTGTAGCGGTCCCAATTGTGAGTTAATGTTCAAGTGTTTTTTGCTTGATGATGTACTAATCTTCACTGTCAGGTTACACTTGCTTTCTTTCGTTTGTGTCAGTGCTTAGCGAATCAACTACTACGTGTGCTAATGCTGACATTCTGCTTCAGTTGCGGCTAATGGTAAGTTGTTAAACACCATCATTTGTAGCTCTTCTGATTACGCGCATCTCTCAAAAAAATCAAATAGTTTCGATGGGCATGATGTGAGCAGTGTTTAAACATGCCATTGATGGCCACTGAAGCATGCTCCTCTCAGGATCCGCTTACAATCATATACCACATTCGTTCAACAACCTTTGTCACGTGTAAGTGGTGGGCAACTTTGTATTATCAAATATATCGATTGGATATTTCTGCAGTGGATCTTCACCGTGGGCCTTTCACTTTCAGTGTTCGTGGATATCATGATCGCAGCATTCATGTGCTATTTCCTTCGCAAAAATCATACAGTGGTTACAAGGTAAATTATTTTAAACCATGCAGAACTGGTGTTTACTTGTTTGATAGCACCATACGTATCATCGACACCCTGACACTCTGGACGATTCGCAATGGATCAATGACAAGGTATAATCTGGATGCAATTGAGCCACGATCATATCCTGACGCCGCTTTCCTTACAGTGCTGCTGCCATCGCATCATTGATCTGCGTGGGCATCTTGTAATTTTTCTGCTAAGTTCAGTTACTGAAATATTACAGTGGTTGGTTATGCCTGGCAACCGCATATTCCTGGGTCTTCACTTCGTTGTAGCGAAATGTAAGACATCTTAAATGCTTACGAATGCATCTCACCTACCAAGGGATATTATCGGAGCAGTATATGCAAATTCGCTTTTAGCCACGTGAGTAACCGTCATGTCCGGTGCGGCATCCATAGTTAGGTCTAAATTGCTGCTGCAGCCTTAATGCCAGGCAGCATATAAGAAACGGAAAGCAATATGATCCTTCGAGCGATCATCCTTTGCCGATTGTCTTTTCGGAGGACTGGGAAAATACAAGTGAGACTTTGCGCTCGCAACACGGATTTCCCGTAGTAAGTGCCGTGGTCATCGTCACAGTCGAACTTGACACACGTATATATCACAAAATCGCAGATGCAGCTTAATTCTTACATTCCGAGGGCTCAAAATGAAAAACGGGGGAAAACAGTTCGTAGACTTGCCATGAAGTATTCACCGTCTTTGACCGACAACTTGAGGCAGATCCAAGTAAATGTTGAACGGGTCGTGGAGTCCAAGCTCGAAAATGTTGCGCTGGAACCGACGGAAAGCTGCACAGAAGGAAGTCCAGTCTAATACGTTGATATTCTGCTGTTTGGGATTTGGCTATGCTGATCATATCATACACAACACTTCTTTTGATTGCGAACATGTTATTGTTGATATATTGTAAACTACTCTTTTTTGCGGCTTTTGTGAATCCTTGGTATTTATAGTCACTATTTTTGAGTATGTACTTACTTGGCCTCTTGATGCCAACGAATTTGAACGAAATGAACTGAATGTTGGTGGTTCACAAAAAATTAAATAAATCAAATCCCAGGGAGGAGGGATGTTGATCAAATATCAAGTGGTAGTTAATTGTAACGCTCGTCAAAAGCCAACATCTACTCATTGATGTTGGCAACTGATATTTACTTTCATCACTCTCTTTAGATACTCATATACATTCATTCCATCTTCTTCCATAGAATTCTTACCCTACAGTATATAAGCCGACGTATATCTACTGTTAGGGCAGTTGATCTTTCACCCCCGAATATACTTAGTTTCAGACAGTTATCTCATTTGAGCCTCTAAGTCTATTCTACCCAACCGACTCTCACATGTGAATGTTCTATGAATGCCACATATTTTAACTGCCAATAAATCTAAATCTTTATGCACCCTTTCCACTGTAGTCATCGTCGAGGAGGCTTGATCACCCTCCGAAGCTTTGACTCTTGTTAAAACACGCAAACCCAATATATTCAAAATCAATATCATAAAAAGATGCCTACTGCTACTAGTGCAATAGACGAAGCCTCTCCTCTCTCTCTGACTACGTGACTGAGCATGAGTGATGATGCATGCACAGCTGGACTCGAGTCTGAGCGCGCAGAGCCTCGGGATAGCACTGCTGTCCCTTGAGAAGAAGGAACAGGCATGGAGCCTTCCTTGAAAACCGGTCCTCGAGACCAGGTCAGGGTGGACAGAGAATCCACCCAGGCGATGAGTGCTGTACCTAGCCCCGCCCAAATGAGAGCTCCATTGTTTGACAATGTGGGAGCCAATACTGCATGCTCCACTCAAAGTGATGAGAGCCTAGGTGACTTAGTAAATAAAATACCTACTGGCGTCCCCATAATAGGTTGAATGCAAACATTTATGTCGCCCGACAGTAATAATATCCCTCGCCTGCAAGTGTTACGCACTCAAATAGATCTGTTATGCGGAGCCCTAAGAGGGGCGTCGTCCGCTAACGTTCGTGATGTAACTGGAAGGGTCCGGTGTAGCGACTGAGACTGGCGACGTCAAGTCGGCAGATATCAGAGACGCGCGTGTCACGTGACTTCTAAGATGGATGTCTTCAAAGTCACTGACGTTCTCAAAGTAAGGACAGTCTTGTCCGAACGATGAGTAGTCGATCGAGGTAGACTTAGGCGCGATGAGCACCTAAGAAAAGATACTAGAGGCTGAAGGTGAAGGGGCTTCAGAGGGAAGTATGTTCGAGGGAAGATTGAGTAGATTCAAGTTAGGGAATCTAGTACAGAGTGACCGACTACTTATACTAAGTGGAAAGGGTTAAGGGCAAGGCTACCGTACTGTAGGTAAGGGCAAAGGGGAAACGGAAAGGGTATAGGTACGCTGGTAGCAGAGC